TCTTTAGTATAATAAATACTTACTAATATTAAGTATTCTAGACTATAGGTTAAAACTTCTTCTTATAAAGTAAAGCATCTGATTCCTTTAAGAGTTTATAAAGAGGAGACGTAATTCTTATAAACTAATATATAAATTAGTAATAATATATAGCTAAGCCTAAGAATTATTAAACTTTATAAATATTTATTAGCTTCAGCTATATCTTTATAACCTTAAGTTTTATAGGTATTAGTTAAATAAATCTATTACTAATAATATAACTATAAAATTCTAATTCTCTCTTAGTAAATATATATTTAGAGAGTTTTATATATAGCTAATATTCTTAGAGTTAATTAAGTATCTTCTAAATATGTCTCTTATATTTCTTATCTAAGTCTAAGAAGATTAGGATATTATTAAGGTATATAACCATGAAGTTAAAATCTTATATAATACTATTTATTATAGTCTGGAATATTATAGGTATATTATAAAGTCTAAAAGGCATTACTAAAAATTTAAACTTACTAAATAATATATTAAAAGCTATCTTTAGAATTAATAATTTACCTATTTATAACTACTAGTATCTAGAGAGGAGATTAAGCTTTAATAAATACTTAGCTTAACCTACTTAATCTAGAAGTTCTTAGATTTATAATAGTAGATAGGTATTCTTAATAGTTATCTTATTAAGTAAATAATAGTTAATGTATATTCATTATTTCTTATTAGCCTTAGGGATAATTATAATAGGAAAACCCTAAGTACTTACTAAAGAATAAATAACTACCTTCTATAATAGTTCTTTAACTTATTTCTTTATTTTATGGAACTTCTTAGGTGACTAAGGGTAAGAGTTTATATTTATTAGTAAGGAATCTCCTGTGTTAATATAATACTATATTAACTAAGCTAGAGGTATTCCTAGGTATAACTCTTCCCTAAATATATCTTTATACTAGGTAAGTAGGGGACTTAACTAATATAGATTTATTAGTGCTTTACTATCTTCTTTAGTTTCTTAAATAATAAATAACTAAGCTTCTTACCACCCTTTTTAAAGGGTATATTTAAGTTATTTAGTAGAGATAAGATTAATAGATACTTCTAAATTAGAATTAATCTAGCTCTAGAGATTAATAGGATAAATAATAATATATTTAGTCTTATATCCCCTAATAACTATTTATCCTGTAACCTAATTAATATTAGGGTTAATATATTTTAGCTAATCTTAACCTAAGATAATATTATACTTAGTTATTTTAAGAATCTATAGAGTGATAATATAGTACTATTTACCTAACTAAAGTGGAATTTAAACTTAATATAATATATATATAAACTCCTTATTTAGTAATTAGATTCACAGAGGTATAGCTATCTAATAAAATTAAAACTAGAAAGATAGTAATAAATTAGCTAGATATTTTAATATAAATATATAGCTAGAACTATAATCTAATAGAGCTTAAAGAGGAACTAGTAGCTAAGAGGCTTTAAGTATAGTAGGAAAGCAGAGAATATCTAATTAGAGTGTGTTTGGATAGGTATTAATATACTAGTAATTCTCTAATTCTAGTATTACTCCTATAATATTAAGAATTCCCTCTTATAGTGGTTGATTCTCTTTATTATTATTATTATCAGAATCCTTACCCTCCTTTAAAGGTTTAAGATTATTAGATATATTATAGTCCTTAATATAGGAAGCCTTTAATAATTAACTAACTAGTGCTTCCTTATTTAGTAGTCCTTCTTATTTCCTAACTACTTCTTATAATTAGATTTTAACTAATTTAGTATAGTATAGTCTTATATATTATAGCTCTTTTACCTATAATTAAAATAAGCTTAATTACCTCTACACTAAATCTTCCATTTATGTATCCCTTTTTGTGGTTAATTTAGGGATATAATAATAGTATTAAGATTAATATCTATTAGATTAGTTTAGTAATTATTAACTTTACTAAAAGATTAAAGCTATACCTAGATATATAAGTAGAGTTGCATTCAGTCTGAGTTTGGGTAAGTCCAACTATGGTTGGAACTGAACTGCTGCGATTTCAAGTCCAAATTTTAGAAATCAGAACCAAACCTGATCTGTTCTGATTCAGTTCGAGTTTAACCATAAAAACCTGCCACTAGGCCTAGATAGGCCTAGATAGGCCTATACTAACTAACCATAGTTAGATTTGGTTTGATTTGGTTTGAGTTTAACCACCATTATTCAGTGAATTTTTGTGATAGCCTGTCACTATCTCTCATAACCATCCTTCATCACCTTACTTACCTCTGAGCTTTCTGCCTTAGCTGAATGCTTGCCACTTCTGGATGTTTGACCTGTTTACACTATTACTCTGTGATATCTTTCTACTCTGTGTACATACTTTTTCTTCCTCTTCTCTAGACTTAGTATTTCTTCTGAATGCTACCATATCTGTTGATTTTGCCTGAGTGAACATGATAATTTTAACTGTTTTAGAATTTCAAATAACCATTAATGACCATAATATCTACCATACCTATAGAGAATTAATATTTTTATATGAAATATATAGTATTTATTATTATAATAATCTATATCTAAAATATTAATTCAATATCTACAGGGCTGAATGGGTGGTGATTAAAAATCTATAATAGTTATCAAACCTTAGTCACATATATATATCTATTCATACCACTTTCATACCAACCCCTGATATAAATGATTATTCCCTTATATCTTAGCAACCACTAGGTACTCTGAATTAATATTTATATATTTAGATGGCCTAGATTTAGGGCTATCTAGTGATATTAAAATTATTAGGCAAATCCTAGAATTGAGTGATTTTCATCTAAAATAGTGCGGGTTGGTTAATTAAATCTGATCAATCCTCAAAAACCATAACCAATGGTTTTAACCAAACTCAAATCAGTTTCAACCTAGGGAAACCGAAACTGGTGCAATTCCCTAGGCTAGGGACCGAAATCGAACCGCAGCAAGTTCAGTGAGGGTTGGATTCGATTTTAGCGGTTCGGTTATGCAACTCTATATATAAGGCAACCTCTTATTTATACTTAGTAAAATAACAGATCATATTATTAAAGAAAGTTAGTTTATTATAATCTTCTACCTAGTGAGCATGCAAAACAGCCTTTAAGTTAGTAATAAACTTCTAGGTTAATATATTATTAGGAATTCTAGACTTAATCTATTTAGTAGCTTTAATAAGGGAAGTAGTATATAATTATACTATTTAATTTCCTTAAGTATACTTCTTATATTCTTTCTAATATTAATTCTCTCCTCTAATCTTATTAAAGTTCTCCTTAATCCACTATTTAAAAGTATCTAAAGTAGTAATAATAGCTATTAAATTATATTTAATCTTTTACTTATATATATCCTATTATTTCTTAGCTTAACTAATAAGATACTACTTAACTATAGTAACCTTCTTAAGTTTAGTAGTAACCTTTTAAGTAAGAGTTTACTTATTATAAAAGTACTTATTAATTTACTTAAGCTACTTTATTATAGTATCCTTACTGTACTTATTATTATATATAGGGATGGGCTTAAGATTAGAGACCTTTTAATATAGTTTAAGAGCTTTAGTAATAATTTAAGAGAATATAGGAGGATTAGGAGTAATAGATATAGCTCTTATATCCCTTTCTAGCTAAGAATAATCCTAATAATTATACTTAGCCTAGAGAAGTTTAATAAGTTATTTATACATCTATATTAGCTTAGCCTAACTATTCTTATTAGTTATATACTAAGTAGTAATAGTAAACTATTATTAAAGTTAAATATACTCTACCTTAAAGCTATTACTATTACTAGTACACTAGGTTTAAGGGGTCTCCATACTAGAAGATATAGATTTAATATTATCTATTTTATCTATAAAGAAAGGTAATAAACTAAGGTTATAATTCTAAATTATAATTACTAATACTAATATTAATTTATACTTATTAAAATAATTTTAATAACCTAAATTTATTTCTTCCTTATAGTTATAATATTAACCACATCTCCATTACATTCTAGAAGATTAAAAGTAATTAATAATACTTACTATTATAATATTATATTAGGGAAGAGCTAAAAGATATCCTATAATAAAACCTTTATTATCTTTAGTGTCTAGATCAATCTAAGAAGGTTAAAGATAATTAATCTAATATATATCTACTACTTTAAGAATAAAAAGTATAACCCTTTTATTAATATTATATTATTAATAATATTCTTAGTAGTATTATAACTGCATATCATAGTTACACTATAATCTAGATTAAATTCTTAACAAACTTTAAACCTTTTTAGAATCAGGTATTAAGCAATTACTTAATCCAGACATGCTACCAGATGGAATATCATTTATCATAATAGGAGGGGATCCTTTAAGATATATAAGGGTAGGGGGTAGGCCTGTAGCCACCCCATATATATCCTGTCTGTAATAAAGAGATTCTACCTCCCCTTTTATAGTTCTACCTAAGCTAGCAAAGAATATAGTAATCTAAATAATTACATACATAGTAATAATCACTAGATATCACCATGTATGCTCATAGATCATGTTAACCCACTAATGTAGCTATTAATATCACAATGGTATACATGTGGTTCATAGTTAATTATAGAAATAGTAGCTATAGGTAATATAAGCAGATAACAGTAAAAAAAAGTTTTGGCTGGTTTTATACATTCAGTCCACTGTACAAAGTCTGTTATTTCCAACCCTGTAACTGCCAATCAGAGTTCCGGCCTGGATGTTCCGGGCTGACCTTTATATATGTTTCTATCCTACTGCCTAATCGGAACACTTCATCGAAGACATAACACTGCAAGAACTTTCTGGTTGCTTGTAAACATGCGGCTTTTCCAATTCAGACTCTCCAATGATGGCGTCATGGCAGGCGTACACTCCATCCCATTCCCACTGTTATCAGCATCATGTGTTAGACACCATCCTCTCATCGTCACTCTCCATGGTGGATAACACCTACCACGGCACCTCCTTTCCATCATACTGGTTAAGGCCCAGCACATTCTCCCACCCGGGTACGTGAACGTTGAAGAAACGACCGTTGCCATCCCAGCCAATTCTATGAACAATATCCAACACAGAACTAACACTGACTTTAACGGGGAGATCAGCATCTTCGCTTCCCAGATCTGTTTTCAACCACTAGATTTTGTCAAGCATTAGTTACTCCAAGTACAGTTAATTATAGGTCTGACAGAAAATCCTACACCTGGGCTAACACAGAATACTGTGAATGCTTTATTCTCCAGTTCATTGGCGTCTTATTGGCGTAGAGAACTGTAAGCATGTTCAATGCAGATTTCGTAATCTTGTAAGAAGGGACTGTGACAGCATGATTGATGAACTGCTTCGAAATGGAACCAAGCGTAGTAGAGCTTAAATTTTCTTTAGCTAGCTGCTACTTATACCAAAAAAGAGAGACATCGGGAAAGAACTTACATGTTAAGGACCTTTTTCTCTTTTCCCTTCCTCATCAAAGGCAAGACCGCCCTTGTGAAATTATGCACACCAATAACATTAGTGCGAAACACCTCTTCTAGGTCATCCCTTTGCGTAGAATCAGTCAGGAGTTAAGGTTAGCGTGGGGGTGTGGAAACCTCAAGTGACAAGTGCTTCAGGGAGGTACAAGAGGCACAAAGGGGCATACATCTCTTCAGCCGGTCCATTGCTCATAACACCAGCATTGTTGATAAGTACATCCAACCCTTTGCCGTCCAGGTTTGAAGTGATGATGTCTACAGCATTCTTGATGCTGCCTTGATCCGCCACATCAAGGGGCACATATACAACGCGCTCCGGATGTCGGCGCAAGAGTTCCTGGAACTTGGGGTTATTGAAGGATCGAGCGGAAGCAAAGATAACAATGTCATCATTAGAATTGGCCAGTTGACATGTTAACTCGAGACCGATCCCTCGAGAACAGCCAGTGACCAGGTAGGAGCGCATGGTGCTGCCTGGATTAAAGCTGGAGGGGCAGTATTCAGAATACGGCTCAACCGCAGAGTATGCTTGAAAGAGTGTGGGTGAGAAAATGTTCAAAGATCAAGCGAGTTAAGCTGGGACCTTAGTCTTTTTTTGATATGGCGAAGTGTACTCGGTGTATCCGGATATTTAAGTCTCTTGGATGAGGATTGACATCGCGGATCTACGGCTTCGATGGACCTAAAGATACCCAATAATCTCCGGTATTTCCGGCGCTGACGAGTTTTCCAGAGAAATGGAGACTAAAAGCATACCCTCTCCAAAATTCTATAGACCTTGGTGCTTAATTATTGTCCGTAACTAACTAAACAGTTCGTGAATGATGATAAAAAAGCTTCAAGAGCGAATAGTCTAATTGTGGATACTAGCGGAGTTAGCAGAAATATATCCGGGCTACGGCGTACCGTACTTGAAGAGTGCTTCCGCCAAACCACCATATAAAGGCACAGAAGAGACAGACATCACTTATTTCGGCCTATGACCCTTTTCGGCCTATCACTGACCCTTGCGAGTCCAAGCTCACAAACGCATCCCGCCGTCTCCCCAGGTCATATTCCGCAAGCGACGTTGGGTCAATATTCGTTGTCTCAATGCAGGCCTTCAGACTCGCTCTCGCGAACAATGCTATCGTGACGGGCATACACTCTATCCCTCCGCACTCGGCTGCATCTCCTGTTCGCTACCGTCCACTGATTGTGGCTTTGCATGGTGGGACGTACGACTGTCATTACTTCGATGGGACTCCGGAGTGTTCTGCCTCTGTTGCGAGCGTCGCCTTCGGAATTCCGTTTGTATCGATCGATCGACCCTGCTATGGGGCCACAAGTTCCTTCCTACCCATTCCTGAAGGATCTGACTTCAACCAGCAAACGGGCCTCTGGTTGCATCGGCATATCCTTCCAACTATATGGTCTAAGTTTGGCGAAGGCTGTAACTGTATTGTTCTCCTATGCCATAGCCTTGGTGTAATCGGGGGCATTATTGCAGCGGCTATGCATGGACAGGATGAGAACTCATCATACCCCCTGGGAGGCCTTATTGCATGTGGGCTGGGTGATAAGCCACCGTTGTCGGCAGATGGTGCTCCTGCGAACTTGCATGCAAGGATAGGGCCCGACCATCTTATAATGCCTGTGGACATTAAGGACAGAGTAATGTTCCGGCCTCGAACTTGCAGCCCAGAAGTTCTGGCTCAAAGCGCGCGCCTTAATGCACCAATTCCAGATGCAGAGGTACAGCATTTCCGAGATTTTTGGCTTCCTACTTGGCGGGAGAAATGGGCACGCTATGTGGCAGTGCCGGTCATGTTTGCTCTTGTGGAGAATGATCCCTTCTTCGAGGCCACAAAGCAGGAACTCGAAATTTGCATGGCAGCATTCACTAGTAGTATCCGAGTTGATGGCAGCTTGATTAATGGCGCCCCTCATTGCATGGAGTTGAGTTATTGGTCTCAGGGATGGTATGCTCGTTGTTTTGGGTTTGCGATGGAATGTTCTGCTGGCATAGCTGTTTTAAACCAGGAGTGATTTTTCTATTTATTTTGATGCTACAACAAATCGTAGGAAAGTCTGTGGTCTCCTGTACCGGGCTCATATGATGCTTGGTTGAATTGACGTCCGAGGTCAAAGAATGAAATTCATGCCTTGGGAGTCGTGCATCAAGACCTTTGTTTAGATAATATTCTCTGGAGTTCTGAACTAAAGTGAGCTCTAATTATTAACTTTCATTACTTCTATAGCCTACTTATAGATGCAGATACTCTTTCTCTAGGGCTACTTATTACTCAAAACCCTCTATAGATAGAGAGGCATAAAGAGATGTTTTCCACCCCTAGAGTTCATAACAGCCCTGAAGATGGCTTTACTATTAAAGTTTATTAGACCCTTAGAGATTAATAATATTAATATTAGCTCATTTATAGTAATAGGGCCTATAGGATTTTGAGGCCTAACATAATATTATTAATTATGTTAAGGAAAGGTAGAGTGGGCAAACCACTATACATCTTAGCCTATTAGAAACCTATACTAATAAACCCCTGAGCTTGTTAGTTATATATATAGAACCATTTAATACTGCATGTATCCGGTACTGGCCGGGTGGCATACCCCGCAGCATCAAACCGCACCCCGAGGATGACCTGTCCCTTGACCAGATGAAGGAGTTGGTTAAGGGGTGGCTGCTCTTTGTCCAAGTATTATTGTCTTTCTACACACCGTCTGAAGGAAACAAGGTACTGACACAGCACTAGGAGGACTGGGTTCGTCGTTCTGAGGCCGCTATCGCGGAAGATGATGGGGATTATGAATTGCGCCAACGGCGGAAGCTCGTCAAGCAATGGGCCTCCGCAACACAGGAGTTCCGGGATGTATGCAGACCATCTGCTAATGATAAGTTAACTTGTGCTTACCTGGCAATGTAGAGTTTCCATGACCGCGCACCCATTGGCCTTCCCGGAACAGAGAGCGATGGTGAGGTCCTGGGAGGGTTGCGATACCCAGCCGAGGCCCTAGAGCGCATAAACGACACCCAACAGCCCTGCGACCTGAGAGGTGTCATTTCAATCGTACCAGTGGATCCCACGAACACTATCAATCGAGCACGATGGATGAAATTCGTCATGCTGCTTTATGGGTACGGTATGGAGATCACTCACTGTCTACAAACTCACTACATGCCCTCAGAAGCTGTGCCAAACCCAGCCACCCCGGGAGGTAATGGTAACCTTTGGTTGAAGATTTTCCTGCCTGGCTGTATCTCGAAACTGCCCTTTTCGGCTCAATATACCTCACCCGCACCGAGACAATTTGTATCTTGGGTGCACAGGCCCATTTGCGCTTGTGGATGAGGAGGGGCTACGAACAGGCCGACTTTCCCTGACTGCATTTATGGCCAATGGTGACGTCGAGGACTCTGTTCCTATCCGGCCTTTCAATATGCACAAGCCTTACCTGCAATATGGTACGCTTGGAAAAGGACTAGACGATGCGAAGGGCGCCGAGGGGGCATTCATACCTCAGAACGAACCGTGAGTTTACCTAATTCTTGCTTTTCCTGTAGAAGTATACTAAGAAATGATCTATCTGTCTAGGCTCAATATGGATTTACCTATTCTCGACATCCTGTGCAATGCCCAAGCGGCGAACGAACTAGTCAGTGAGATGGCATTAGGCGATCGTGACCAATGGAAAGAGGATGTTGAACGATACGCACCAGGGTTCTTGGCCCTTGAAGCGATCGGCAGGGGTGCAGAGTACGATCTAAACCTTCTGACGCCTGGCGGTGACCTTGGAGGTGGTGTGAAACGAAGAATGCTCAGGAAAATGGCGTCTGGTGTGGACCCGCGCTTTACAGTTCTTCCTGGGTTGAGCTTCTAGAATATATAGTTGTAAACACGTGTATCAGGATTCAGGCTATCTCCAATTGCCGAGCAAGCCAATTCATGTATTAAAGCTTTAGTATAGAGCTGTGCAGCTATGCTCTGCCATTTGATCCTGTGTCTCGCCAAATTCCTCAGGGGCAATCCAGATAAGGATGCGATATATGTTGGTCTTAAGTACCTTAAGACTTTTCAAGCCCCATGTGAAGCCGGGGGAGGTTTTTGCAACTGTCACAGAAAGCAGAGTGTTTGGCCTATTGCATGCCATGAACCTACGGTGATCAGTCACATAATGCGGGCACCAAAGCTAATGAGATATAGGTAGACTTAGTGTACTGATATTTATTTGTGAGTATATTCACAGCCGGTAGGCAATCTTCCGCAGTCCCTTTCCTTTGCAACACCCTCCAAGGTTCCCACTCCACCTAGGCTAGGCTTGTTTCGCTCCTCACTGGCTCCTGAAAAGCGCAATATTGTTTGTGAAAACACCAATATTATCGCTGAAGCTCGCCAGACTCCGCCCATCCTGATCCACCATGCTCCGAGTGCCGAGCGTATTCAGGTTGTACACGGTAATAGCCGAATCGCCCTCGATGCTAAAGATGGAGTTTTGGCAATTCTGTCCGCCGCCGTATGTGGAGCATACTGTGTTTCACGCAAGGGACATCCATATTAGCAACCGTTGTCCTGGCAGGGCCATGGGGAAACAAGGGGGAAGGGGGACATGGAGGAATCATGACTCTAAACTAGAGGAGACTACACTAACCCGCATCATAGTTATTGAAAAAGGAGTAGAGGCCGGCGCCGTACACGGAGAGGTCGTGCGAGTCTACCACACGGAGACCCCAGCCAACCTCGCAGTTTCCGTCGGTGGAGCTCTTGCAGCTTGAGGCGAAGTCCGGGTCATGGATTGCGTCATTCGGCGTGAAGGGAATCAAAGCGTTGGGGTTGCTCTGGTAGTACCTGTCCGCGAGACTCTTGTATCAGCATATTAAGTAGAGACACGAGAAGATTGTGTTCCAGGAAGCGGCTGAGGACATACGCTGTCTCTGTTTGGATCTGGCCCATGTACACATTCTGGGTCGAGACGAACTGGTACTCGTAGAGGACGTTGTGTTCGACGGATGTGCCGGACCTGATGATTTGCAAGTGGGTCAGCTTATGATCGGAGAGGGATACAGACGCCAGAGGTAGCAAAGTGCACGAACAGCCAGATGTTTCCCTCGGTGCTCTCAATATTCAGGCCACGTCCACTGTAGAGCGTAATCTGGCCGCCATCGGCCTCGGTCTGGACATCGATATCGCTTTGAAAAGGGTTAGTGCCCATGCATGAGCTTCATACAGCGTGTCCGGGAGAAGTAGAGACTTACTGATCCGAAACCCAGAGCCAGGTATTCTCCAGGTAGAGGCTTGAAGCAGACGGTGTGACATGCATGAGCATGTAAGCGACAATGCATTTCTCATCGGCCTCCGTGATCACAGTCTCGGGTGTTTTGGCGCACTCCCTGGTCGTCTGCTGGGACCCTGCGAAGCCTCCAACGCGCGCGTGCACCTCCCACATTCCAGACGGGTCGGACGGCGACGCAAGGTTCCATTCAATGAGCGTAGCGCCAGCCTGAGGCCCCTGCGTGCTGATGATGAAATCCGAGAGCTCAACGTGGCCCTGTTGGCCAGCTTGTCCGACTTGGATCACAGGCTTGGGCTCCTTCTGGTTGTTGAAGAACGCTCCGCTTGACAGGATGACGGGGAATGCCTCACCGACAATCCTGGAGCCTGCGGGGATTCGAAGCGTGCTGGTCACCTTGTACACGCCCGCATCGAGGAATAGCACCCGGCCTGATGCGGCGGCGGCATCAATCACCCTCTGCAGTGCTGCGGTGTCGTCGGTTGTCCCGTCACCGGTAGCGCCGCCGTCCCGGACACTGGAGAAGGCCGAGACAGGCAACTGCTCATACTGTGGCTTGGAGCGCTGGTAGTACTTCCCATCACCAGCCAAAAGTCCAGCAGGCCGCGAGACCGGGGTGATGGCACCGGCAAATCGAGTGGGCCCATCGGGGACATATCGATTTCCCTGGCCCCAGCCTGAGATAACAGACGAGCCCGTAGTGCCCGCCAGAACTGTGCCCGAGGGACCCTGAACAACAGTAGCCACGTTGCTGATAGCCACGTTCTCAAGTATGATGCTGCCAGCAGTGTGCGGCATAGAGGACTCGGACTGTGCGGACTTGATGGCGACGGGGGTATTGGCGAAGGAGCTGTCAAAGACGGTGATGGACCCAACGCTTTGCTGCTCGCTGCCACCTGTAGAAATATCAATGCCGACCTTGCAGTCATTGATGGTGATATCCTGGTAGGTCCAGCCCCAGTTCCAGAAGTGGCTGATGGCAGTTTGGGCGTGGTTGAAAGTGAGGTTGCGCATGGTGAACTGCTGGTTTCCGAGCGCGGCGCCAATCTTGCCTCCGTTGAAGATGAGATCCCCGGCGAAGCCGGCAGAGCCTGTTTTACACTAGTTAGTATCGGGAACCCATTGATCTATTCAATGTAGATTGTTGGATATTAATAGACTCACCACTTTCGCAAAAGATCCCCTGATGCTCCGTGCCCTCGTCGGCGCTCAACTGGAAAATAACATTCTGCAAGCTGGTCGCCTGCGCCGTGGGCCAGTGGATGCCACTGATCTGCCTCCTCGCCGCGACATCCGTGGTATCAAGCACAAGGTTGCGCACCTGTCTCCAAAATACGGTAGTCGCAGGCCAGTTCAACCCCGGCCCAAAGTAGGGGTCGCCGTCAATCAGATAGCCACCGTCAAAATCGGCAGATGCCTTGATAACAGGCAGTGCGTTCGGGTTTCCCGTGATGATTGTGTTGTAGTAGTCGAAGATGGGCTTCGAAATCACGTACGTGCCCGCGGGAAAGTAGACTATGGCGGGCGTTGTGGTGCTCGAGAAACAGCCCTGCCCGCAACGCTCGCCGCTGCTCATGGCTTCGTTGATTGCGGCCGTGTCGTCCGTGACACCGTCGCCTGATATGTGATATTAGTATAGGGCGAATGCGCGCTGAGGTCGGCCGCTGCGGGTACGACTCACCTGTTGCGCCAAAGTCCTTGACGTTACGGAACACCCTATATCCTGAAGGTCCCAGGGGTGCGACGCCCTGGTGCGAGATGGACTCTAGCCAGTAGTCGGGGCCATTCGCTGCCTGGGGAGAGTGTATACTCTCAGTAAAAGAGCTCCCTGCAGGGATTGCCGCACCGTGGGCCAGGGGCCCGAGCAGGACGGGGAGAGTGAGAAGGGAGCGGATGTGCATGATGGCGGCGCAGGACCACTTTGTACAATCGAGGGCTAGTTGATGCCTCTTTTGGAATGATAGTCGTTGTAATACGGGAGGACATGTCGTATTTATATTCCTCCTCGCTCTGAAGAGCGCCTGTCCTTGCAACCTGAGAGCGCACTTTGTCGTGAGGAAACGAGTCCCCGCCCCGTGCTGTTACTACTACGGTGTTGGGGTAGATTGGCACACTTTGCGCCAAGACCTATACAGAAGGTTCTCCAGATTAACTCCTCGTTCTTGCTCTGGACGGCCCACTGGAGGCGCGGAGTATCGCATGTGAGCCATTTTTCGTTGGCAGCCCCTCAATCCACCAAGGCAGGCTGCACAAACCCCATCTCAATCACCGGCACGGCGCGATATTGATTCCAGGAGATACAATGGCTGTGAGGTTGCTGAAGCGAAGTTGAGGTCGAGTTCCTTCACACGAGCATACGCGCTGTGGAAGTTCGGCACTTGCAATATCGCCAACGTTTCAGATAGATCTGCCTAAGCGAATCGCTGTTTGTACTCTACTGCAAGGTTAGCCCAGCGCACCCCGCTTCAGCGACGCAGGGGTATTCTACAGTAACGTTCTCCAAACTCCTTCATTTCGCACGACACTCCGCGGTTTAAGAGGGGAAGTTGTGGGGAGTCTGGGGAGTTGGCGGCCATGTTTGCCTGAGTTCTGCTAAAACCCCGCAAAAGCCATGTAGGCCCGGCGCAAGATTGACGCATCTCACGGGTCGGAATCCTCTCCTTCCGAGCACCAGTACTCTCTGCCACATCCTCTGAGGCGTCGGGGGGCGTTGCCTGAAGGAAGGACAAGCGGCACGGACAAAGCCATTCTTGCGAGTCGTTCCTTTCCGGCTTGTTATGCGATTGGATGGAATAACGTCCGGTGAGAGATACGGTCTGGGGAAATCTGGGGAATGAGTGAACTATACTTCGGTGTCCTGCATCTGTGACCGTGTTGATCCAATCTTCCCGAGGGTAGACACATGGTACTACTTTCAATTGCTACTAACCACCTTGATATGAGATGGGACAAAGTGAACAAACAACGACAGCTTTCATTCTAGGAGTGTATACTCCCATATGTAATACTATATCTCAAATGGAAGACTAAACGAAGACAAACTATTCACAGGATCAATCGAAATCATGGCCAAGACCACTTTCCACGCGCGCTTGGCTGCACGCACACACAGCAAGGCAAGCCATCTGCAGTAGAACACCGCAATAACCGCATGCATTCTAATGCGGGACAATGGGATACTCCAGGTTCCTGCATCCACCCTGGCACCTGCGATACAGACCGATAAACCCATATCCTCCGCAGTTCTGCAGGCTGTCGCCAGCACAAGGCCACAGACAATTGCCCATGGGCGTAACTGTAGGCATATCGTCCTGGTCCACACTATTCCCACAGAAACACTCGTCTGCATTCTCCACGCCAGCATACTGGTAGCCTTCGGCATTGCATTTCTCCACGCACTTGGCCGGCGTCATATCCGAGATCCCTGCCATCGACCCGACTAGGACCCGCTGCCCGCCAACATTATCCCGAGTGCAACCCACCCACTCCCACCCGTGGCTGCCAGTGAGATCGGTGTAGTAGTGCAGGGGCTCGCCGATGGTGGTTGGTGCGCCGCAGCCGGTGACGGGCCTGGCGTCGTTGGGGCCGGGCTGGATGGGGTTGCACCCGGGGAGCTCATCGAGCCACCCGTCGATTCTCTCGTTGATCGAGCGCTCAAGAATGCAGCCGTCTGTCACCCAGTCTGGCTGCATGGTGATGGGCTCGCACTTTGTGATGTCGCCGCCGCCGTCGTGGCATGTGTTGATGGCGTCTTGGAGAACGTCAATGTCCCAGCCGTTGAGCTAGAAGATTTGCCCATGGAGATTAGTGACTTGTGTCTTTAATTAATAATTAAGCACTTACAAAGTCACCATGCAATCCATAGCCCGTAGGATCCCCGAACGAGAACACAAAGGGCTGCTGGTTACCATACCACATATTCCCAAACCGCTCCGTGTGCCAGGTAACCTCGAGGAAGATCGAGATAATCCTGACCGGGTGGGATGCAGGGCACGGCCCGTTGTCGTAGCTCTGAGTTGGGTAGGCCACATGGGACCTGTGGTCGGGGCTGTCTAGGTTAACGCCGTCCCAGCACGAGGGAAAGTACACCTGCGCGCGCAAGCCGTTCGGGCAGTTGGTCGTTGGGAACCCGTGGGTCTGCGGGGTGCCGGGGGCGTTGTAGTTCAGGCACGCAAAGCTGCGAGCGGCGGTGGCAATGTCGCCTTTGTCGCTGCGATCGAAGGGGCTGCCCGCGACCATGCGGAACCCGGCTGGGGGTGCGACGATGGTGCCGTCGGTTGTTGGGTCAGGGCGTTGCCTTTTTTTTTATATCCGTGTTAGATTGGTGGGACTTTTAGAAATGTCCAAGACCTTGAACTTACTCGTAGTAGATGAGAGCACCGCCATTCTGGGGCACTTGGATGAAGCTCCCGTTCTGCGCGTGGTAGTACAGCGAGGCAACCCAGTAGTTGGACTTGTCCTCTACCGCGGAGCAAGAGTTGCACTGCGACGTCTGAGTCATGTTGTAGTCCATTGTGAATCCAAAGCCGGATCCGCCCATGATTGTATGGACATGGCCAGATGCAACACCCGGCTGGACGATAGGGTCTGCGCGTTGGATGACAAGGGGGGTGCTGCAGGGCACCTTGAAAAATGCGAGGGATAAAGTTGCAGAGCTGAGAAGCCACGCCAGGGAGGCCTGCTTGCTGAACAGCGGCATAATGAAAGAGATCACTGCAGAGCGTATTGTAGGGGAGACAATTTTGGGACTCCTCGTCGTTTCTTTGTCCACGGCCACTTCCGGCTCCTTTTAACTTAGCAGATTGATTCTTTCTGCTAATGCTGCTGCTGTTGCTCCTTCTCACGGACAAGGGAATCTATTTAACTTTGCAGCTTGCTTCAGACGGCATGAATCCCCGACAGCCTATACAGACACACGTCCCCCCACAGCCTCCACACTCCAAATCTGCAGGCATGATTCTTGAAACCCGGAGTCGAGCTCGTCGCGTGTTCTGCGTCCCGATACTCCGCGACTCCGAACGATTATCAATCTATTGAGAGGGCTATGCATCTACCGTTGCCCTCGCGGGGTGCCGGTGAGAAATGCTGCATGCCTCACGCGGGGGTGGCACATATTCTGCAGACAATTTTCTGGGGTACAACGTCTGCAGCACCACCTCCGCTGAAGTGGAAGACCCGGGCTAGGGCTGCAAGTGGTCATCTACAACCTACTCTTCTGAAAATCAGGGGATTTCACCGATATTCCGCGAGACACCGCGGGCGAGTGGGTGTAGGGAAGCGGGTTCGGTGAGATTATGATATCGAGAGATGCCACAAGGTGTTCGCATGTTTTGTTTGAAGTTGATTGAACCAATTCTTTCAAAACGATCAATCTTAACTCGACATGATGTAGATCGCAGATCTCAGTGTCCTTCGTCAAAGAATATAAATACAGGCAATGCGTAGTCAGACAAGGTCTCTACCAACACTGCCAGTCACCCTCATACACTACACTCATATTGATTCTTGATATCCGTTACCATGACCTTCAAGACCACCTTTTCCATCCTCTACGCACTAGGGCCTGCCCTCGCCCTCGCCCAGGGAAAGCGCGGTCTCGCGTATAACGACGGCGCCCTCGCAAATCTCTTCAGCGAACATAGCCAAGTCACCTGGGGTTACACCTGGGGCTACGACCGCAACGGGCTCAGCGCCTCCTTGGACTTCAACCCAATGCTCTGGGGCCTCCCCTCCTCGCTGAACCCCCAGTGGACCGCCGCCGTTCGCGCAACCGGCGTCGAAGCCATCCTTGGCTTCAACGAACCAGACCTCGGCTCCCAATCGAACATCAGCCCGGCCGACGCGGCCGCCGGCTACCTGGTGAGCATGGAGCCATTCGCGGGCCAGGTGCGCATTTCGACGCCCGCGGTGACAAACGGTCCACCGCCAAACATGGGGACTGGGTGGATGGACCAGTTCTTCGAGCACTGTACGACTTGCACGATTGACTTTGTGGCAATCCACTGGTACGCCAATAACGACCCGGAGGGCTTCAAGGCGCACGTGCAGCAGTTCTACGACAAGTACCATCTGCCGATCTGGATCACAGAGTTCGCGGCCAGTGGCTCCGAGGCGGAGCAGATTCAGTTCCTGCAGGCTGTTTTGCCGTGGCTGGATGCGCAGCCCTATGTTGAGCGGTATGCCTACTTTGGTGTCTTTCCCGGGTTCCTGGTCAATGAGGGCGGAGACGGGCTTTCGCAGCTGGGACAGGTATATGCGACTTACAGTGGCTAGCTATCTCGCGTGCATGATGACCTGTTATCATGTATCCAATGACATTGCCAGAAATTGCACTTTCGTTGATCTTTATCTCTGATCCATGTCATAGCCATACAAACTGGTACTGCTTGGTGCTGTAGGAGAGGTTGACAGCCGAAGCTTCCGGGGAGGTCTCTAGATCATTGTATGGACCTCTAATCATCGGTGCACACAGTCCCTGGCCAGCATATAACGCTCCCTCATGGCCGCCAAGAACAGTAGGCTGCTGTATGGCATGTGCTGCTGCACAGCCAGGTGCTTGGAGGCGATGAGTCCCGCCCCGCTGCTGTTTCAGATTTACGGAGTAATATCTAAACCCTGAATCTCAGACCACCTTGTGCTCCATTCGCTGGCCGGTAGCCCCGGTAAGCCGTGGCTTCCCAGGACCCCAAGTTCTGCCCCTGAGATGAAGTCTTCTCGCCAAGAAAAAGACTCCGCAATTCCGCGATGCAGATGAATTGGACGTCCGTGCAGATCGGTCATGCCATGCATTTCTTACCTCCGGAGAAGCCGATTATGTACCCACCCTGTTTACGGTTCTTCTCCACCTACCTCGTGGCCCTTAGTCTACATCTGGGGGCGAGCGAGCTCCTCCAGTTTTCTCGTCCAGGGTTTTGTGGCTTGCCTTGCTAATTAACTGATACCAGCCATGGTGCTTCGAACGCCCCCGGTATGTTCAAGGCCTGGGCTTTGTCACCCGGCGTTGAATCGCACTATGTAAGACAACGATAACACAAACGCCTAGTGGCCGTTTTCTCAAGTTGCTACCCTCAACACAAGCGCATCAGCAGCCAGGCTATTGTGTAGGTAGGAATCAGATCTTCTCATGGTGGAATCGCCGGACGGCCACATCTCACGGCCCACGGATCCCGACAGTCTTGTCCTCGAAGCCTGGGGTCAGGGACTGATGGTTGGATCGCTGGTCGTCATGGCCGCGGTCATTGTTGCAAACATGAAAAGACGCATCTTACTGCATAAGCTGATTCTGATCGAGGCGAGTCATTCACTTGGGGTACTTGATTTTTGCAGCACACCGTGACACCTAGGCTGACAAAGAAGGCATGACAGCTGCTCCTCGCCCTTCCACACGGCACATTCATCTTCAACAAACCCCCCGTCTACGGGTGGTATCTCTCAGTGAGCGCTGTCGGGCTCAACATCTCCTGGAGCCTGCACAATCTCATTGCTTGGATGAAAAGTAAGCCGTTTTATAGTCGCAATGTATCCGTGGCATACATCGCTAGTGTGGTCTTGGTACAACCATACTGGCTGCTAGAGATCTATGCCAATTTTGCATATTTCAACAATATCAACCGTATCTTTGAGGTGACGCGGCCAATGGAACCGTTCTTCCGGTTCGTATGATCCATCGAGTCTTGCAGTTCCTGCTCCAATTCCCGTCGTTTTGAGGATAGGAGGACAGAGAAGGAGGGAGCACTGTGCTAATAGCAATCAAAAGTGACCCGTGGTGGATATTCACAACCTGCTCCCTATTCTACACAATCAAACGCGGGTACAGCTTCGGCATCGTCGAGCTGGTCACCGTCAGCCCGCGATTCGGCATCATGCTGGCTGCCATGTGTGTCTCGATTCTGTTCATCATCGTCGACACATGCAGTGTCATCGGTGTAATTCGCAGCGCCGCACTGCCCATCGGTGTCCAACCTTTCTGGAAGGTATGTCTCTAAAATTTACCCTTAACTATCATATTTGATGATATACCTTTAGAACTCTCTTCGTTATAAACGCAAAGAAAGAAAAGAAAACTAACTCATCGCTCGCGCCCTAGCTCTCCTTCATCTTCAAATGCCTCTGCAACACCGTCATCCTCGACGACTTCAGGACAGCCCTCGACCGCATCCACACATACCACGAGCAGCGGAGACGCGCGTCTGCGTACCCTGCTCTTCGCGATATAAGACCACCGGCGAATGCTCATCAGCCGCCCCACAATGCGAGTTCCGCGTGTGCGCCGACATTTGAAGAGGCCGAGGAGGTCGAGGACATTGTTATTGAGGTTCCGCGTAGGGCGGGAGATGTTGTTTAATGGATATTTTTTCCTTTTTTGGAGAGGAGTTCTCGTGCTGGACCGAAAAAGTGGCCAGGCGCGCGTATGGTTTACAATGAGGAGTCAACCGGACGAGAGACACATGTTTCTTTTGCGGACATAGGAGTAATATGATCGGAATGTTTCTAGGTAATATTCAATCAATGATTAGCAAGTGTTTTACTGCAGGGATCTAGCGTGACATGTGCACCGGCATGCTTGTCAGAAGAGATTACATATGTCCAACCAGATACGGAGATAGAACAAAAAGAGTCTGCGAGTGAGAGACGAGTTATCCTAGACAACATGATAAAAGTCCGAGCGCCAGATCCCAGTAACCTAAGGTCGAGGACCCGGAACAGTAAATTCCTTCCACAGCCGCGCACATCCCCTACGATCAAACCCAACTCGCAGAGATACTATTACTTACTCCCCCCACCCCTCGACCACCTCCTCAAGAACTCTCAACCTCTCCCTCGCATCCCGGGCCTCATCCCTCCAATACGCCAACATCTCCACAGCGCCCCTAACCGCCGCCTTCCAACCCACAGGCAGCATCGCGCGCACACCCCCCTCCGCCCGACTCGCCGCAACAAGCAGGAGCGCACTACGCGTACACGAGCGCAGCATGAGCCAGACGCCGTGGTGACGGTGGCGGAACCCCTTGCGGTTCTTGTGGATGCGCTCGGCGGCCATGGCGAGGCCGCGGACGACGAATTCGTCTGTGGCCGGGTTGCGCGGGGCTGCGTGTGCGATCGCTTCGAGCAGGTAGGGGAAGTAGATCCACTCGTAGCAGTCGAGGAGGTGGCCGCGTAATACGAATTTGAGCACGTCGTCGTCCATTTCCGGGGTTGAGAGGGTGAGGACGGGGGGTAGGGAAGTTGTCCTGTTTGTGTTTGGCAGTGGTAAGTAAAGAGGAGAGTTGGGATGATAGGGGGAGAGGGAAGGATTTACTTACCAGTCCGACGCCTGAATTTCAAAATCTAGCGAGATCTCGCACATATTATGCGCATCCGGAAACCGGCCGTGCGTTTGGCTCATGAAGAAGAGTTGGACGATCCGCATTGTGAGCCGGCGCACGGCGGTTTCGGCGAGGTAGAAATACCACACGCGGGACTCGTCGCGATTGAGTTGTTGCATGGGCAAGGTTGGGAAGAAGGTTGGATATGTGAACCCGAGCGGGTCGGGCTGGTTGAGGCCGAGCTCAAGGCGGAGCTCGCTGGACGGGTGGGTCAGTTAGTCAAAAAGAAATGGAGGGTAAATCCAAGGTGGAGGCAGGAAGCTCACAGTTCGGACTTGAGGCAGGCCCAATGGGTCGTCTCCAGGCAGCGAGTCTCGCTCTTGAGGCTAGCCCCAGCTGCATTTGGGTCGTTCCCCCCGGACGAGAAGAGCAGGGTCTCTGCTGTGGCGGCAGCCTGCACAAAACACCGCCAGGCGCGGAGTGGCTGAAATATGGCCATTAGGTACACGCCAGAATAGAAGAAACATTGCGCCTCCAGCACCCCGTGCGTCCGGAGCACAGCTCCTAGTCGCATCTGCGCGGCCTCGAAGTATCGCTGGCCGTGGTGAAAGGTCGGCGACTGTCGCGCAGTCATAGAGCTGACTTCGTGGTGCTCATGGAAGCTTTCGGAGATTGCGCCCAAGGCACATATGACCAGCTGGGAGTGCAGTTCGGGTTAGTGAGTGTGCTGGTTCGGATGGGAAAGTAGAGTCCTACCACGAGGCACGAGGGTGCGTCCCAGCCGATCCCGTGGATACATGCTTGGTACAGGTAATCGGTAACCAAGGGGACGTCCAGGATTGGGTTGGCAATATGAACCTCCTCGAGAAATGTGTGGAGCAACCGGGTGCAGCAAGGTCTAGGCGTTCCTGACGGGGGTCAATGTTGGCTAGGAAAGGTTCCTGCGACAGGGTTGTTGGCGAGGAGAGCAGGTCTGTGAGACTCGGACCTGCGTCGTATTTCCCTTCGAACACGCTCCAGGAGAGGATAGTCTCGATGGTCAGTCGACTCAGGTCTGAACTGTGCGTCTGGTACACGGGGCTGCTGTTAAGGGTACGCCAGTCGCTGTCTCCCGCAGCTGAGGCGCTCCTAATTGTGGCCAATGCATCGCTGTTTTCGAGGGCAGGCCTTGAATCCTCGTTTTGTTTCTGTTGCTGTAGGAGTGATTCAATCCGGTCCAAGCGCTGGATAATCAATACGCTGGCAGGGTCGAACCTAAACCAACCGTTAGCTTTGGAAGAAAAGAACCCACAGAGAACCTCAGATCGGGTAGCGTACACTGACATGTCAGTGGGGTCGTTGACCACGCACTGGGCGCCTATTTTTTCGCAAAAGGAGCACGCCGGTTTCTTGTTGTCGCATTTCGTCCGACGAGCCCGACAGACCTGGCATGCTCTCACGGCCCTGCGACGGGGGTATGCACCAGGTCCTCTGCTCGGCTGCTTGGTCGCCATGCCGGTGTCTGAAGTTAGCAGAGGCGGGAGCGGGAGCAGAATGCGCGAGTGGAGGGGGGAAGAGAACCGACACTCCGCGTCCGACACGAGGGGGCCCAGGCCGTCGGAAGTCGGGTAGGCCATGGTGCCAAGTGCAGAAGCGGGGTCTCGCGCTCCCTGGGGAAATACGGGGGAGGGAAAACCGGTGTCTTAAATCAATCAGAGCCCGGCGTGTGGGGTTAGCGGCGGATGACCCCATACAAAGCCGTAATCAATTTGGCTTTAACGTGGCGCTAGACCAGACACGCAAAGCAACCTCGCTTGCCGGACAAGGGCCCGGGCCTTGCTTGCCATTTGGTAACTTGCAGGGAACATTTTAGGGGGTTGGCGGCCACAAACTGTGCGCTAAGCTGTGGGACTTCGCGCGAGCTTCCGCTGTCGTTGCCATTGGAGTGCTCGTGGAACGGGAGACTGGGATAGATACCACCATTTCTCAGCCCATATCTTCGACTACTTTGCCCTCCGGCAGCATAAAACCCGCCGGTGTCTCTCATTTTTGGCTCCAGGTTCCACCCAACTCCTCCAGAGCCACCAGTTCATAAAGCATGGCGATCGAAAAGTCTGCCGATCATTCCAACATCGAGACCGTCCACGCCGACTCGGCCGATGTTGCAGTTGATCCCACGGCCAAATCGGCTCTTGTGAGCGACAATATCTACGAGCATGAACAGACTGTCCTGCAGGTTATTCTCGGCCACCCAGTCTTGATCTGGTGGTCGTTCTTCTTCAGCGTCAGTGCCATTGGATGGTAAGTCCAGGAAACAAGAAAGAAAAAAAAAAAAAAAAAAAAAAAAAAAAAAAACAAAATAAAATCGTCCTCCTGTGATTCCAGTCTAACGCCATGGCTTTCTAGGGGATTTGACGCGCAGGTCAATGGAGCAGTCCTCTCCATCCCCTCTTTCCGACGCGACTTTGGTGAGCACTATGACGGCGATTTTGTCGTCCCTGCCCCCTGGCTGAGCGCTTTCAACTCGATCTCCTCCGTCGGCCAGTTCTTTGGCGGGTTTCTTTGCAGCACTATTGCCGACCGAGTCGGTCGAAGGCTGGCTCTCGCCGTTGGCGTGGTGATCACCTGTGGAGGCATCTTTGGAGAGATGTTCTCTATGGCGCGAGCGGCGTTCCTCATCAGCAAACTGATCCTAGGCGTTGGTCTGGGCTTTTACCTTACCATCGGGCCCTTGTACTCTTCCGAAGCGAGTAATTTTTTTTCAGTAACACGACCCGAGAATCATGTCACTAACAAGGTAAAAGGTTTCGCCCGTTGTGCTGCGCGGTATCACGACTGCCGGTGTGAATCTCGGTATAGTCATTGGCCAGCTGCTCTCCAACGCGGCCATTAGGGGCTTTGGTGAGCGAGGCGATAGATGGGCATACCGGGGCCCATTTGCGATTCAATTCTTCTTCGTCGGTATGTTCAGCTGCGTTTCTAAGATAAGGAGACACTTAGCTGATCCCAACTCCAGCCATCCTAGCTGTCGGGCTTCCCTTCTCCATCGAATCCCCCTGGTACCTCGTTCGCCGCAACAAGATCGACGAGGCCCGAAACGCTCTACAGCGACTATACGGCGCCGACACGAATATCGAGACAAAGCTCGTGGCCATCCAGATGACCGTGGCCCAGGATCTCGCAGCCAAGGAGTCCAAGTGGTCCGACGCCGTCCGCGGCACGAACCTCCTGCGGACGCTGATCTCCTGCGGCGTCTTCGTGTGCCAGCACCTGGTCGGCATCATCTTTGTCCTCGGGTTCTCCTCGTACTTCTTCCAGCTAGCCGGCCTGCCGACGGAGCGCTCATTTGATCTCGGCGTCGGCGTGACCGCCTGCGGCGTCGTGGGCACCGTCATCTCCTGGACAATCGTCAACCGCCTGGGCCGCCGCATCATCTTCAACTCCGGCATGGCCATCCTCAGCACGATCAATTTGCTCATCGGGATCCTCGACGTCGTCCCCACCAACGGCGCGAGCTGGACACAGGCCGCGCTGACCGTCGTCTGGGCCTTCTTCTACCAGGTCAGCATCGGCGCCGTTGCCTTTGTGCTGCTCGGTGAAACCTCGTCCGCGTCACTACGAGCCAAGACAACCGCCGTGGCAACCGCAACGCAGTCCGTCTTCGGAATCGTCATGAACATTGTGATTCCGTACATGGTGAACCCGGACGAGGCGAATATGCAGGGCAAGGTCGGATTTGTCTTCGGCGGGCTCGGTGTGATCGCCACCGTGCTGTGCTACTTGTATATTCCAGACTTGAAGGATCGCACTTTCGAGGAGATTGATCTCATGTTTGAGAACCGAGTGCAGCCGCGCAAGATGGGCGCGTATGTGATCGAGCACTAGTGCTGTGATTGTATGATTTTGGCTGCCTGTGTCAATTTCGTTCTTGCAGCTCTGGCATCCGGCCGCCATCCCCAGTCTTTGTGTTCCAAGGCCCTCGGACCCCTATCTGCTGGTATTAGTGGTAAAATATCAGGAAGTAGTTGCCCGTTGTCAACTTAACCATTTGAGTCAAAGTGATCTTGTAAAGTCAACGTAGGTCGAGTACTGACAAGATTGAATTGTTCTTTGTGTCAAGATTCGTGTCCCCCCGTCTAGATACGATCTGAAATCACAGCTGTAGTCCATCGTTTGTTAGCTCCATGTACCCCAAGAAGTGCGATGCAGGGCTGTCCCAATCAATCTCGATACCACGCCACCAGTCACCCCGGCGGCCAAGCGCTTAGTGAGTAGAATATCTCGTACATCCCCCGGTAATTCACCCGGGAGCTACTATTCAACGACTTAGATGACACGAGGTGTACCAGCCAATCAGAGGAAAAGGCGAGCTTCCGCGGCCTCATCCTGCAACAACGCCATTTACTGACAAATGTTGAGGTTTCCGTCTAGACTATTGGCTGTGACTTGCATCTGGGATCTGGTATGATGACCGGGTCGGCTATTTCCAAAGTTCGAGTGCCTTTCATCGTGAGACTACCACCGTTGCAGTTCTCGCGGAGGCACCGCGTAGCAACTGAGAGGGCCCCGTCGTCTACCCCCAAGGCGAGAATATTTCCGATGCATTTCTGACCATGTCAGCTATATAAAGGTCAGATGGAGCACCGTTCCCAGTTCTTCCCATTCATTGCCTCAGACCTCTTGGTTATATCTCTACATTGAACAACCCATACGAACTCAACAAAGCAAAAGAGTAAAATGGGCTCCCTAGATACTGTTGATATGGGCCAGCGGGCCATTGACCAGATCATCTCCGAGCTGTCGTTGAATGAGAAGGTTTCCTTACTCTCAGGTATCTTCATCCACCCGCCCATTTAGCCTCTCACTACATCCCCCGTCACAGCCCAGACATAGCTGACGCATCTTCTTCCTTTTGGAAAAGGAGTCGACGCCTGGCATACATTCGCAATCCCCCGCCTAGGAATCCCCTCAATCCGCACAACTGACGGCCCCAACGGCGCCCGCGGCACACGCTACTTCAACGGCGTTCCCTCCGCCTGCCTCCCCTGCGGGACCGCACTCGGTGCAACCTTCGATAAGGACCTGATTTTCTCCCTGGGCCAGCTCCTCGCCGCGGAGTGCAAAGCCAAAGGCGCGCACGTGCTCCTCGGCCCGACAATCAATATCCAACGGGGTCCCCTGGGCGGGCGCGGGTTCGAGTCGTTCTCCGAGGACCCGGTCCTCTCGGGGCTCGCTGCGGCGAGTTATTGCTCCGGTGTCCAGGATGGCGGGGTTGTTCCGACGCTGAAGCATCTGGTTTGCAATGACCAGGAGCATGAGCGTGTTGCAGTCAGTGCGCTCGTGACGCCGCGTGCACTGCGTGAGATTTACCTGCTGCCCTTTCAGCTTGCGATTCGGGGAGCGAGGCCGGGGGCTGTGATGACTTCGTATAATAAGGTTAATGGGCTGCATGCGAGCGAGAGTCCTGGGTTGATACGAGATATTCTGCGCGGGGAGTGGGGGTATGAGGGGGCTGTTATCAGTGACTGGTTTGTTCGCCTGTTTTACTACAATTTGTTGACTCTCTCGGTCAATATGCTAATCGAGAAACCTCTCTCCGTCTTTACAGGTTCGGCACCTACAGCGTAGCGGATGCCGTCAACGCCGGCCTCGATCTCGAAATGCCGGGCCCAACGCGCTTCCGCGGGCCAGCGCTCATGCACGCTTTGACCTCGAACAAGGTGTCCGAGAAGACGCTCAACGAACGAGTACGCAAGGTCCTCGAGCTCGTGCAACTCGCCTCGCGATCCAGAGTCCCCGAATACGCGCCCGAGAGAAAGCTAAATAGACCCGAGGACCGCGCGCTGCTGCGCCGCGCCGCAGGCGAGTCCGTCGTGTTGCTGAAGAACGACAAAAATGACAATAATAACAGTCCAATACTCCCGCTCGATCGAGAGAAGAAGACGCTTGTTATCGGGCCGAACGCAGATATTGCGGCGTACTGCGGCGGCGGCTCGGCGTCGCTGCTAGCGTATTACACCGTTACTCCCCGGCAGGGTATCGCGGATAAGTGCGGTGCTGATCAAGTGGTCTTTTCGCAGGGCTGCTACGGGCACAAGGAGCTGCCGCTGCTCGGGGAGCATCTGAGAACGATCGAAACTGGGGAGCCCGGATATACGTTCCGGGTGTATACGGAGCCTCCTGCCGCGTCGGGGAGCTTCAAGGGCAACGGCAGCCGGAAGCCGGTTGACGAGTTGCACATGACGAATAGTTCCGCGTTCCTGATGGATTACAGCCACCCGCAGATTTCGGGGGATACGTACTATGCGACGCTGGAGGGGACGCTTGAGCCCCCCGAGAGCGGCGTGTATGAGTTTGGGCTGACCGTTGCCGGCACGGGGCTGCTGTATATCGACGGTGTGCTTGTTGTCGACAATAAGACGGTACAGCGCGCGGGCACGTCCTTTTTCGGGATCGGGACGGTGGAAGAACGCGGCGAGCGATACCTCGAGGCTGGCAAGAAACATCACGTCTTTGTAGAGTTCGGCACGGCGCCGACGTCGAACCTGCAGCACCACGGCGTAGTCTCGTTTGGGCCGGGAGGCCTTCGGCTCGGTGGGTGTCGGAAGCTTGATACAGACGCGGCGATCCAGCAGGCGGTGCAGTCAGCCGCGCAGACGGACCAGGTCGTTGTCTGTGTGGGGTTGAGCGGGGACTGGGAGAGCGAGGGCTTTGACCGGCCTCACATGGACCTTCCGCCGGGGACGGACGAGCTCGTCAACGCGGTGCTAGAGGTCCAGCCCAACGCAGTGATTGTCGTGCAGAGTGGCACGCCTGTGACGATGCCGTGGGCGGACAAGGCCAAGGCGCTGCTGCAGGCTTGGTACGGGGGCAACGAGGCGGGCAATGGAATCGCGGATGTTTTGTTCGGCGACGTGAATCCGGTACGTATCTGTGCATCTCCCACACTTACCTCCCTAGATTACTGACCGAATTCCCAATGTACCTCTATAGTCCGCCAAACTCCCCCTGACCTTTCCCCGAGAACTCTCGCAGAACCCATCCTATCTCAGCTACCGCTCCGAGCGCGGACGAGTCCTCTACAGCGAGGACATCTACGTGGGATATAGATACTACGACAAGGCCAGACAGCCCCCACTCTTCCGCTTCGGCCACGGGCTTTCGTACACAACCTTCCACCTGAGTGACCTCGCCGTTCGAGAAACAGCCCCGTACGCAGCCAACATCAAAGAGTCCTCGCTCCGCGTGAGCGTCACTGTCTCCAACACCGGCGCACGTCCGGGCGCAGAGGTCGTGCTGGTTTACGTGCGGCCTCCACCTGCGACTTGCAGCGTGGGACGGCCGGTGCGCGAACTCAAGGGGTACGAGAAGGTCATGCTGCAGCCGGGAGAAACCAGGGAGGTCTCGATCGCGATTCCGGTTGGGTACGCGACGAGTTTCTGGGACGAGGGGTGCGATGCGTGGCTGAGTGAGAAGGGACTATATTTCGTCGAGGCTGTGGGGACTGGGGAGTGCAACACGTTGGTTGCGCCATTGTCGGTGCAGGTCTCGAGGATGTGGAATGGGTTGTAATTTTTCCCGATCCAAGATCTGGTATTTCAGATCTTCTAGCAGAAAATCGGCCTTTGCCATCAGGTCGTGGTAGGATGTCATGACTCCTACTCGTTGATTTTCGTTTGTATGCATGTTCCGAAGGAGACCCAGTTATTCTGTCTGCCGGTTCCTGGACCGTAGACTGGTCAGCTAAATCAGAAACCTAGTCCTCTAATAAGGATCAGCTGTCTTTTAATAGTTCATTATATAATCATTTCTAATAAAGCTGGAGCATAAGTTGTTATAATACAATTATACACCTAACTTTACCTGCCATTACTATCAGTTATGGATTAATCCTGGCCTCTAAATAAAGTTAATACTCTCACAGAGAGATATATATAACTGTCTAAAGTACTGCATCTTCTACTCAGGTAACATATAACATATAAGACCACTTATCACTCACATCTTTGGTATGATACTGAAACTCTAGGCAGAAACCACTAAACACTTTCTATCTGTCTGCTCTACTTCATTTCCAAGTTCAAATAGAAGGGTGGCTCTTGCACATCTTTCTGAAGTTACAAATTCCAATCTATATTGTCGCAGAAATGTGCTGAGTTCTGGATACAGACATACGATAGAGCAATAAATGAGGTCTGATAGTTACGAGCCATGAGTCTCAGATAGAACTATTGGGGCCCTGAGGTAGGCATGGCTGCCCAACGAGCAGATCCATAGCCAACCCACCCAATGAGCACTGGGGTTGGATGAAAGTTGACGTGATCCAACCTATATACATATGTGGATAGTCATGCCCAATCGACATATGGATAACCCATCAGGCGCATGTAACCCGCAGAATTATCTAAGTATATGGAATCAGTGGCTTACCCAACGCATTTATAAACCTGATTATCTGTGAGTTTGTTTGAGGGACTAATAGTTATGAACTCCAGAGAATCTCAGAAATTTAGTTTTTAAGTGCTCTTAATGAGCATGCCATATATCAGTGATTGTAATGATGTCAATTGACCTAACAATATCAATGGTGTCGCTGACTTCCGAGTCCGTTTTGCCTCAGTCTTCTACTGCTGTATTACCGTAGCCTCAAGCTGCTACGTAATCGCGTTATAGCTCTGCGAAAGAATATGGTGCTCATAGGTTCACCTGCCAATACCATACATATTACGTTCTGATTGAGTTAAGAATTACGAGAGTTGTCTGTTGTCATTCAAGGCTCGGCCGAACAAATAGAGACGGGGAGTAACTTCTGATCTTATATCTGTGATTCCGCTTAAATACGAGCCTACTCTGCCATGGTCCAACTCCGGATAGGTTCCCGATTGAATGTATTTAGCTATGTAAAAGGGAATGTGGCAGGAACCGGTGTCTTCTTTCCAGGATTCGACAAAATAGGTAGTAGAAATGCAGGTACAGAACGGAGCAAAATGCCAAAAATTCATCTTTTCATACCGGCACAAACATGTCGATGTCGGAGTCGTTACGCAGCGTGAAAACACTAGAGTCTCATTTAAGTATATAAGGTTATGGTGATACAGATAGAACACATACTTCTCTTTAAGAACATCTTCACCCTTCTGCATCACAGATCATCACATATCAGAAGAGCCGCTGAGGATCAGGAGGACCGCCGATGAATTGGAGGGTAATAACCGTTGGTTGGACGCGTCTATCATCATCGCTATCGTATGCGGTGATCTGGACAACGGAGCCTTCAATATATGGAAGCCGAGTCGTTACAGGCGCTGCAACACAAGCGCCATTTGGGAAACAGAAATCGAGGGCGATTTCTTCAGGTACCGGGATTATATCATGAATTGGTTTGTTGAATACAGTGTCAACCATGGTATACCTGATCTTTCCTACCGAAAATGTGAAGCCATATCCGGTTATATCCCCTTTCCAAGCGAGTGTGACTTTTGGATCGCCTTTGGAGAGAGTGAGTCCACTTGCGCGTATAGTCGCTGTGTCTCGAGGAGTCTGAATTGTAACTGTGTGGGTCGTCATGTTATTGGATGTCATCGCCTCAAGGATTTTAAATGGCGTCTTGAATATGTTAAAGGTCAGATAGCAGCTGCTCATCAAATGAGGGTGCCATAAAGGGAGCCTGGCACAAATGAATTCCAATGCCTTCTTTTAAAGTAAGACGGAATCGACAGCTCGAATCTCTGTGTGTGAATCCGCCTGGGATCCCATTCCCCCTCATTTGGTTAGGGACCTCAGTCAAGGTGAATTTCAGGTGCTGATAGGTCGGCGTCCTGTTTGCTCAAAGCCCGCTGGAGAGCACGGATGCACCCCTCCAGGAAACTTATGCATGGGATGAGCATCATCAGATCGTCCTCGACCAACACTGTGCAGAGCACTTCTCGGGCCGTGGAGAATTGCTAAATACTACTTTCTGCGCAGTCTCTGGGATGAGTTGACGAATACAACACTCGCGGCGCTCCTGTGCGGCTACAGTAAAGGATAACCAGATGGACTCGACAGATGCATCGCATTCATCAATTCAGTGGGTTAGGGAGGGAAGCAAAGGTACTGTTTAACTGTGACAAGTCCTGGCACACTAATGGAAGAAGCTATGGGCCGCTCTTCTACGTGAGCGGACTGCAGAAGCGCTAAGGCAGGGTGAAAAGCTGATTCTGGGCAAGTATCAACAATTACCTGAGTGAGTGCCCATGGGCAAGACGTTGTGGGAATGGTGAGCAAAACTACCAGTCCGTCAGTGAGGGTATCTTAGAGGGCAATAGTGCGCACAGATGGAGCTGAAGCAAGGTCACTCGCAGAAAAGATATTTCCACCACGCATACTGAGTATCTGATGTTAATAATAGGCACACTGCCTCTTCTTTTGCAACCTTAGTATATAAATGCTCACGCATTACTTTGGCTAAACCACCAGGTGTCGCCGCTCAATTTCTCGACGTACATGTATGCGGCTTATTTCTTTTCTTTATGCTTAATAGTACCTTTTTTCCTTTCTAGTGCAAATAAGTGACTGAGATTATCCAATCCCGATACCGCAGAGGCAATTGCGGGATATATCCCCCAACAGAACCCCAGCTAGATGCGCGTATGCATCTTCGGGCATGTCCGTTACCAGTACTCAGCTAGCCTCCTTGACACCCCCTCATTCAGCTTTGCATGCAGACCAATTAGGTCCTGCATATCTATTACTTTCTTTTGAGTGTACAACCCCCCCACGGGCCCCACCCCTCTAAAAGCAGTAAGTTGTAAGGGGACTCGTGCAGGCAATAATTAGAGAAGAACGCTGGGTATATGGAACGGAACGTTTTTAAGAAATGTGGGTACTCCTACTCAGCCATAATGTACTGAAACTGATTGTATCAGAGCGTGTACATCCGCCCCAGGATCTTCTGCATCATCCTCTCCTACTGTCTGTGGATATAAATACTCTCAATATTACTAATCGTATTTGCAAAGCAAAAGTCAGGAATGGCCGACGCTGTGCACAACGTCTACGTCCATCAGTGCTATATTGCTGGCAGCACAAGGTCCAGTCAGGGCGCCTGGCACATGAGACCAAAATAGAAGCCGAACCAAGAAGATCCAGAACTACACCGCATCCCGTCCAACAGATTTTCACCTGCCTCGAGAGGTCCTTCAGAATCCCCGCGCTCGACAGCGCCCGATTTTCAAGGTCATGGTGATAGAGATGATAGTGGGACGATCACTGTTAACCAAGACTGTGGGAACACTACGAATCAGAACTGCGGAAACACAATGAACCAGAACTGTGGAAATACTACTACAACAAATAATAGCACCAGCCAAATCATTAATCTCAAAGAATCTATAGTAAGTATTCTCTTCTAGAGTTAACCTAGCATATTTTCTTACCGGGAGAACCTCGATAAATTGTAGGCCCCGGAAACCGCCCCCCAATACCACGCCTACATTAATACCTTCATCGCAAACAGCTTCCCAATGTTCTTCGGGCCCCATGATCCATTTGTCCAGACGCTTGTGGAAAAGGCCGTCGGGGAGGTGAAGCGTGCATCAACTGAGTTTGGCCTGCCTTGCGAACGTGCTCCCGGAATCGTGAAACTTGCACTCTATGATTTTGTTATTTTATGTGCTAAGTTTCCCATGTCTTATTCAGTCCTGTCTTCAGAACTAACACCGGTGTTTTATTCTAGATAATAGCCTTTCCATGCGCAAGCATAAGAAGGTGCTGAAAACTACCCTTCTGAACCTCGCCAGGCTCTCCACTCTTCTTGCACCAGTAGGAATATCAATCCGATTCCTCAACCATTTGTGGGGTTGCAACGGTGACTCCGACAATCTATTAACTGCCGAAGCAGTTGAAGGGCAGTTTTCGGAAGTCTGGTTCTACGGCTTCTCAAAGTTGGGCACGACCCTAAGCAAGAAAATCGTGCAGCCTATGATAATTAAAAAGGCTGAAGAGCGTACGCTTAAAAGGCCCGTGATTACAATGATCATTACGGATGGGGAGGTAAGACTGCCAGGCCAACTCGCAAATGAAGTCTGACACTGATCCGGATGACATCCTTGGTATTCATAGCCATCCGGTGAGAGACGCGAAACACTAAGGGACACCATCCAATCCTGCAAACAATCTATGGCTCTCCAGTCGTACGGTAAAGCTGCCGCGGTCTTCGTTGTCTCTCGAATTGGGAATAGTACGGATGCAGACAAGTTCATCGGGGAGCTCCAAAGCGACAAAACCATAGCGGATATGACCTATTGCTCTAGAGAGGCTCTGGATGAACAACAAGAGGTGTTTAAACAATGTGGGGATAACAATAGATACACAGGCCGGGTATGATCTATGTGAAACTGCATTCTTTCGAACACAAGGAGCTGACATATATCAATTCCAGCTGATCGAGCTTTTCTTGACTGCCTTGGAGCGATAGCCCTTCATAAACGTGAAGACACAACCAGAATCCCTGAGTCATATTCTAAGACACTAAGCTAAAAACAGCTCTGCATTATCTACCTCCTGATTCTTTCTATAGCCATCTAATAATTAGTAGAAGCTCCTCTGGTACTGAATCCACTACATTCTCAAGTGTATAATCTATTAGTCTACCCTAGGGGCTCCTCTTTATAAAGGTAAAAATCATATCCGCTTTCTATATTTTCGATATTTGATATCTGACTGGCAGTTACATAATTAGAGATGGATGGGCACTAAGAACCAATCGTACGTAAACAGTCTAAGAGAGTCCCCTGCATTCAGTCTTAATGCGATTGGACTATAAAAATGTAACCATGCTGATAAGAGACTTTCGGCTCCTCTAATCCAATCACGCTCACTGTTGAGCCAGGGTCATCGATGTTCGCCGAGTCGGAGGTCACGGGCTGTGTTAGATGGCGAATGGACGTGAAGACTTTGAGACATGTCAAGGGTGGACGGTGGCTTTGCTGCGAGCGAGTCATGATCAGCGAATGGCGACCAAACGCTACGCATGGATCCCTGTTCATAATCAAAGTGGGCATTTCGAACGACTCCAACCCGATACAAGTGATCTCCAGGTCCCGGTTCGTATAATGGAAAACCACCGCCTCGATACTTCCTATTATTGAACATATCCACAAAGTAAATATTGGGACATAAAACCATCCTCCTGCCACTTTTGGATGTGAATGGCCAGTGGAGTTGATACATTGACCCTGGTAATACCTCTGTCTGGATAAGGCCAATTGGCATAGCCTGGTATATGAATGCTATTATGAATGGACGAAGGGACAACATTCCTAACCTGAAAGGGAGGGGCAATAGAGCCTATGGTAACAAGCAGACCAAAAGAAATGTTACACTATTCCTGGAGCATATTCGTCACCTTCGTAAACACCCTAAGGTCACCATGTTTGGAAAGCCCCAGCACGTAATCACGCACGATCCGGATGTCCTCAAAGGTCGTCTCATGCAGCACCATGTCAAACCGACGGACCATGTAAGCAATGGTCATGAAGAGCTCAATATACGCGAGACTAAAATGTGAGCAGCGGCTCTCATCTTTGTACTAGCGCGGAGTTAACTCACTTCATGCCTAAACAGATTCTGCTTCCCCGGGTAAATGACACAATATACTTGGTCAAATGCTCTGGCTGGTCCGATGCTTTGATCCAGCGCTCTGGCCTGAAGGTCTGCGGGTCGGGGAAGATTGATGGATCTTGATGAACAAAATATGTGGACATACTTACGGGCGTCTGTCGTTGTCAGTAGTGCACAATACAGAGGAAAAGAAAGGACAACTCACGCCCGGAGGAATCACATAGTCTTTGTACTTCAGGGTCTCTGTCGGGGTAATCCTTGGGAGGCGAATGACAGCCCCGTAAGACAGGCGAAGGGCTTCATTAATTACTGCGTTCTGCATAGGTTAGATGTCATATTTCCACATGAGGACATGCAATTACCAGATACGGCAACTTTTCCAGCTCGGCCCACGTCGCCGTGCTGCTCAGCGTAGGCAGAACACTCGACTGCAACTCGTCCCGCAATTTCTTCCATATTCTCGGTTCATTTGCCATGTAGAATGTGGCAATGGTCAAGGTCCGTGCAGTGGTCTCTGTGCCCGCCGCGAGGATGATGAAAGCCTCGTCCTGAATACGGGCGAGACTCCGTTCTTCCGCCGGAATGGAGGGGTCTGTCAGTCTGTGGAAGATGGTTCTGGCGCTGTCGTTACGCTTGGACTTCGGCTGGGCCGCATGATCGAAGATGGATTTCTGGAATTCAAACAGGGCGGTTTTACTCGGTTGAACGAAGCACATTATCTGCGCTGGGATCGTACGAAAAATTGTCACCAGGAACGGGAAGAAACGAAACCAGTGCACGGCATTCGTGGTCTCGTTGACTGCTGCCCGGATATTACTGCGGAACTGCGGGTCCTCAAGGAAGCCCCAGCTTTTACCGTATGCATAGTGCGTGATCACATCCGCGGTGAGTCCTGCAAACGCAGCATCCACCCGTATGGCTGATCTGCTGTCGTATGCTTCTTGGAAGCGTTGCATTAGCTTTAGGACTCTCTCTTCGATGATTGGAGAGAGGGCCGTGACGGACTTCTTGGAGAAGAAGTCGCTGAGGATGCTTCGCCGGAACCGATGATGGTCATGACTGACTGTGGAGAAGGTAGACAAGGGAGCGCCGGAGATATGAACCCATCCGGGGTCTTTATCGCGTTGGTGGGTTCCACCGGCGTAAACCGTATCGTAGAACGAGGGGTCTTTGATGTGTAGTTCACGGGGATTGATGCGAACGACTGGGCCTGACTGATGTGAGAGACGAGGTGGCTGATGATACAAAATCAACTTTACCGTATCTCTCATGCATCCTTTCAATTTGGAAGAGGAACTGGCCTCCCTTGATCACATCGTAGTAGAACTCGTAGAGGAACGTGGCTGCGGTCAATTTCGGACCCGGGTATCTGCTTAATGGGTGGAAGAAGAGACGATAGATCGACTGTACAAGAAAGCACAAGAAAATGTAGGCCAGTGCCGGTAGCAGCCATGAGGATGATAGCATCATTTTGAAGATTCGCACCGATCAAAAGTTGTGGAAGGAGAAGCGCGACGGGGCATAGACCAATATATATCCGACGTCCATTCGTGTCCTGCAGGACGATCCTTGTCAAACACAACGGTCTGCATAAAGGAGGGGTTGGACACATCGATTTGAAACCCTCGTCTGCAGGATCAGATGACGTATATCCCAGCCCAAATTGTACTTTTGGCATTGGATTTGATCGCCGATAATCCAGCAATCTTCTGAAGGAAGTGCGGTCAGCCCAATAATAGAGAGTAGTAATTGAACCTTGAGCTCCCCTGAATATCCTTCAATGGACGAGAGATTGAAGAGCATCGTGGCACTATGTGTTTGAAGGACCATCGTCATGACCGGGAGGATTCGACATTGCATGTCAACGAAAAGCCTAAAGGGCCGCTGATAATTCCATACTCTTTGCAAATGTCCCAGGGGTAGGTGGCGGACAAGCGGACAAGCTATTGTGAGTAGTAATTCTGAGAACCCCAGGAGAGAGTGCTTCTTCAATTCATGACAAGTCGCAAATAATACTCATCGCTGTAGTGTCCATTTCAGCCGTATCAGGGGTGATGATAGGTCTAGAAATGACAGGAGCCTGGTGTATTGTGCTAGTAGTCCTTTCAGACTGAACAGGCTGTTAAAAATATCTTCTTTATCTTATTCACTCTTGGTGCATTCTTGACACAGATGAGAAAGAATGCAGAAGGCTTCCTGTCTGGACCCAGAGCTGATCAACCAGTACCTGACATATCTGCCGCCCTATCCCACGGCAAACTAGCAAACATGCCTGTCCTGGACTACCTAGGATGGATAGTATTTCAAAACAGCAAACACCTCGTTTTGATCCTGCCTCTCAAAAGTAATCGAAGCCCTTGTAGCATGCGTCGCAGGGCTGTAACACCCTTCAGGCGCCGCGTGCGAATACTTGCCCCCACTATAGAATTCCGGATGCAGCTTCAGTGCTGTATCCTGCTCCCCCAGGTCCCACAGCAAACCACACCATGGTTTGTAATTGTGGATGCCCACAACGACGGTGAATATTTCTCCAGAGGAGGATTTGAAGCGAAGCATTCCAGAGGTACCGCTGCCTCCCATAAACAGCACATGCTGGCCATCATTCTCAGTCCAGGTGCATCCATTGGCATAGTACCAGCAGGTTTTTTCAACAACTGTGAGGGCATCGGAGGTGCTATTCTCAATACGGAGACGGATAGTGTAGGACATTGTAGCGCTGCAAGGGTCAGCATATTCTTAAAGAGCTTGTGGTGGCAATCGTGGCATACATACAGGATGCTGGTGTGACTATTATGCCAGGACCTGGGATAGTGTAGGAGTGCTGCTGGCTGCAGAGTATATGCTCTAATAGAGAAATAGTGTCTTATCAAGTCAGGCGGAGGAGACAAGCTCTAATACTCGTGGGATATGGATGCTTTATATAACGAACGGAACCGTGATACGAAGGCTAATGGAGATACCTTCTCTCGGCTATTATTGACGTATAATTCTGTTTGCTACTCAGATCGCCACCGCCAATCCCATCGATGTTAGTGCTTCAGCGGTTTGGGCGCTGTGCTCTAGTGCTTACACCTACGTTAATCTCACGATGAACCATAGAGAAGTGGGTTCGGATATGACTGAGCCATGTGCCAATCTCACCTGCAGGAAATAGATCACTCGGAGCTGAAAGGAAATAATGGCGTCGACGCATATACGGGAATGGGAGAACCCCGAGGCCGCGGGGGTGGCGTAAATGGTTAGTGTATACCCGATAGTACGAAGCGACAGGACATGAGCTCTCCAAAGATGCTACGATCAGATTCAGCTCCAGAAGAGCGACGGAACTTGATGTCAGCATTATCATATAAACCCAAGAGGGAATGGCCGGGTCCGATAGTACGAGCCCTTGCCGTGGCGTTCCCCAGAAGGGAATCCTGCAGCACGGCGCTTAAAACTCTGGTAGTGGCTGAGGATTCCTGAGCTGAAGATATTAAAGTGGCGTCCTGACGATAAAGTTATTATGCTTGTAATATGCGGTTGATAAATTCCTCTCCAAAGGCTGGCGGGTGCTAGGGCCACTGGAGATACCGTACCTAGCTGAACTGATAAACAGCTACTCATTAGTTTAACGGGTCACCGGTAGGGACTGAGCGTGCGCGGACTGAAGCTGCATAACGACGATCAATGGTCTAGGCTCGGTGCAGCTCTCCATATGCACTGTAACCCTCCCAGGAGGGCTGCCCCGGAACCTTGGCGGGGTTTGTCTATAGTGTCACCCCGCTCTTTCAACTGTCTCAAGGAGAGTATTTAAGCCGGTTCTACGACCTCAACCAATCGGTGCTTGGCGTGTAGGACGTCAGCTGAGATGTATTTCACGATCAGCATCGTCAATTATTCTTCAGAGATTTCCCGTCTCCGCTAGCCACTGGAGCATGCCACTGCTCAACAAGCGCAATCATAGGAAGGGAAAACTATGATCCGTGTCGGCGATTTAGTCCTACCGGGATGACCGATGCCAAAGCGTATCTGAGGGGATGTACTCGTCTGACTGGGTCTTCTCTATCCTTCTGGTCGAAGGCGATAGGGTGTTTGTGTACTAGGAGTCTAGGATATAGTACCCATAGCCCTATCTGGTCATTGTTCCTAGAGCTGCCAGATCATGTAAGCCACCTGGCAGCTCTGTTTTGCATATATATCGCTTTTATCACCGCCATTAATCAGTTAACTCCAAAGGCCCCTTTATGTGACATCCTTAGCCTCTACGGAAATCAAAGCCCGGGTTGAAAGCTTCCGTGATGTCCCTAACTGTGGTCTCATTGTAGGTTTGTCTAGAATGCTTGTTAGAGATTGACACATACATCCTTTTAGTGTGACGGATCTCTGAGTGGAGCGTGTTTTTGGAATGATGACAAGGCAATGGAATAGCGAAGCTACTCCATCCGATCATTCAGCCACGGGTCCTGGAGTAGATCCTTCGCTGTCTTTCTATCTTCAGGGCGCCACTGAAGCGTCCCTCTCATGAAAGCTATAAACATCTCCTTATATCTTCCCTCAAGATACTCTTCCGACATTTCCAAACTGACCCCTGTCGGAATCTCTATGCCTTGTTTCCACTTCCCTGCAACGTTGTCTTGTAAACCTTTGACAGTGCCTTGAGCGCGAAAAGGACACTCACCCTCGTTCGTAAAGGATTCATGGCTCCGTTTTCCACGCTGCAGCAAATCTAAAGGAGGTAGGAGGTGGCCCTAGAATACTCACAACTTCTGCAAGGTGCGGCCGAGTTGAATACCCTTTGCCATCAGAGTCATTTCCATAGAAAAGATGCCTCCCCTCAAACAATCCCACACCTATTATTCCCGACTGGTTAGTAAAAGATATCGAGATTGAACAGGCAGGACATACCATAACACCAACATTCCATATATCGACCGGATAACTCCAATCGATTTTCAGCATCACTTCCGGCGATCTATAAACATTTGGCTGCGCATCATGATTCCTCCTCTGATCCCCACGTATGGCAGAGCCAAAATCACTCAACACTGCTCGGCCAAACACCTTTGGCAGGTCGAAACGTCTTGAAGCATATACAGACATACCATTGACAATTTTGCGAGGTGAAGGGTTCTTCAACTCAGCTTGGGTAAAACTGTCCAGGATTGAATTGTCCTGTATATCTTGGAGAATATTATCACTTTTGATGTCTAAAAGGTTGCGGATCAGGAACGGTTTTCGACAAAGCCATACCGATACATCTTACCGGTGTGGACGAGCTTGCATTCAGTGTGCAGATAGTCAAGTGCAAGAAATATTTGCATAAGACCAGCTTTGAGTAGGTCTTCACTAAATCGATGATTTGGATTACGGTATAGCAGATCCCTGAAGCTTTCCCACATCGGTTTCTGGACAAGACACGGGTGGTCACCACCGGGACGGGGAATTGTGAAGATATCCAGTGCCTGCCTGATATGAGCACGGCCAGGGTGCCGTGGACTCCCCTGATTTAGTTGCTTATAGATCTGAAACTCTTCCTGATTACCTTCGTCGCGCGTATAGATTTTGAGTGTCACATATTGATGACCTCTGTTCCCGTCAGTGAATCATTGTTTAGATAAAAGAAGTGGATCTAACCGACTTACTCAACGTCACGAGCAAGCCATACTGTAGAAGTCGTCCCAAAACCAAGTTTACCAATAATTTGGTATTTGGTACTGAGCACGTCGCCAATATCAGCAGGGTAATATTGTCCTTGTTTGAAATGCTCAAACCGTTCCTCGTCAAGCACCTCCGACGGGCGGATAGTTTCGAAGCCGCTGGTGGGAAACCACATGGGAAGGGGAAGGGGCCCTTCGAAGCGCCTTTGTGGCCCATTTCATGAGTGTAGCCATGACGAGCGCGCAGAAAGAGAAAAGGTTGGGCTTTTTTTGAGGTGAGGCAGAAGAGTGAAGGATGAAGGTAACTAACTAGATAATGTAATCCATAACCAAGCAGCCATTCCAATCGAGCGGCCACCCCCTTCAGATTTGACCGCGTCTCATTATTTTGAATTAATTAGCACGTCAACATGCCTCCAAACTCGCATAAGAAATCAAGAGAAGTAGCTGAGCAGGAGGGAAGAATTCTCCTTGCAATATCTGCTCTTAAGAATGAATCAAATCTGCAATATTTCTGAAGCTGCACATGTTCATAATGGGCCCCGCGCAACTCTTCAACGACGCCTATATGGCCATATCTTTTGACCTAAGGCACGCGTAAACGGGCATAGAGCCACCGCGGCTGAATGAAATTTGATGTATTATGTACTATAATCGCTGCTGTTGCGAATTAAGGCTCTATTAAGCAGATAATAGAACTTTGCATACAGAATACATTCTGTATAGAAGTAGTTAATTTCTTGTTAGTTTATTATTAATCTTATATCTAAACCCTTAAATCTTTTTTCAGATAAGAATAAGCAAAATTGATCTTCCTCTGAATTACAACAGCTAACTACACCAGTAATGACGCGCCTATCTAGACTCCTTATATAACATGACGCCAGCTCCTTGAATGCTAAGTATCTAAAATATGGATCTAGTGGATGTGAAGGACTCATACAGAAATAGAGGCGCCTATTCTTAGAATAGTAGCGATCATACAGTTTTCACAAATGGACTGCTGGACGTCTTAGATCCTTTAGAGAGGGAGTTACAGTTTTAAATACAGCATCCTTTCTGAGTGAGATAATGCAATAACCTAAATCATCTCCTTGTTCTCTTTCTTCTCGTCTGGATATTCCTCATTCCCACATTTATCTGGGGATGTTGACACCGTTCTCGCACGTTCTTCTGTTACCTTAATATCTAGCTCTCTGGTATACAGCAAAGACACCATGTCTCGCCTATTTAGCACATTGGCCCAGGCTCTGCTCCAGTGGACTGGATTTGATAGGTATAAACTACTAGAAAAATGGCAACTTGCTGTGGAGAAATTCACAGGCCTAGGAGGTGGGGCTGAAGTAGTATGTTAATATTAGACTTACTGTTATATGTTATCCTTAGTTTATTTTACTGATAAAGAGAAATGCAGAGACTTGGCAAGCTGGAAAGAGTTTAAATTAAGTATGTTTAGCTTAATGATATTATGATTGTTGCTTTGTGGAACTTGGAACCAGGTATCGAGATGACAACCCCGTTCACCAATCCCACTTCAACCGTAATGATAAGGGATGGGTCATCAGTGCAGAAATCTCTGGCGAGAACAGCAGGAAGGTTTGCCATATATACGATGATGGTACTGGCACAACTAAGAAAGGGGAAGAAAGGCGTTAATTGTTTAATGTTATGGTCTGTAGCGGGAGGTGATTGTGAGACTTTGATGATCTATTCCACATCTAATGCTGTATTTCTGTTGAACTATTTTACACTAGTAAGGTTTCGATATAACTAAGAATTTGTATGCAAGTCCGAAATCGAATGAAGGTTTGATTCTTCTTGACGAGCTACTAACAAAGGCATATATTTATACCTCAAAAAATGAAGGTAATCAGATTCGAAATGATTATGCACCGGTCTGCCTGATTCGGATCATGATCCCATGATCCTGGTGGTTTATGATCTTGGCCGGATCACCAATGAAGAAAGCGAGTATGGCCCAAATTCTCCATTCAGTAAGTAAGCGATAATCCGTCTGAGAATGGTTAAGGCCAATACATTGACCATGCCATGCTTAATCCCAACGACACCCTCGTTGTGAATAGAAGCATGGCGAGGCAGGGCTTTCGAGGCTCAGAAGGGGGATAGATCTCTCTTTGTCTCTGTTGCGTCGGCCTTGTCGCTGTCAGATGGTTGTCATTCTAATGCGGGATTGCGATAGAGGAGTCGTCTTGCCAGATATTGACCGTGCCCGATTCGGTTGTTTTTACTTTATAGATCACCTGTTATACTATTTAGTAATGGCATGTGTTAGGATCTATCGCTCTGGTATACTCTAGACAGGTGCCTTATTATCATACAACATGACTATGGCATGAAGCCTCAGGAACAAATAGCGCCCACCATCATAAATTGCATGAGCCTCCTCCGATCAATCTCTTTCTTCAACATCAATAAACACGTCGCCACGAGCAGAGGCTCCTCCACAAATTTTGCCGCTTTCTCATCAATCAGCAAGTGACCACCATTACCGGCATCCGATGGAGATGATCCGGCAGTTCTTGTCTCACCACCTCGCAGGAGCTGAGCGAGGACCTTCCCGTGCTTCTTCGATTTGACGTCTTTCAATTGGAGAACGATAACGTTTTCCTTTTGGCCATTGGAATCTTTTCTTTTTGTGTAACTCCACTCCAACACCCAGCCATCGGGTGTATTGAAGGTAGTCGCTCGCGAAGTCCATCTCGAGGAGATCCTGATAGGGAGTGATTGACTTTTTGAACCATCTGTCATGGAAATCTCAGGATCACGCGCAGGACCAAAGAAATACTCAGTGTGCAAAAGGTCTCCACAGTTAGGATCCGAAAGAATGGCGTTTCCCGAGCAGACGGATGAACGCCTTGAGACGTAAGCGACAGTACCATCTGCACTGTCGTAGATTGGGATTTCAAGCTCCCTAGAGGGAAGGGGGAGACGGAAGGCAGCGATGCCCTGCGCGGCGATATACAGGGTACGAGAGGGGTGGAAGAAGGCAAAATGCTTTTCATCAAGCGAGTCACATGTCAGAGTGGAGGTCAAGGATGGAGCAGAGGATTTCTCTTCGATGAAGAGTTCCGTGTCTTTTTCGGTCTGCGTCAGGGACATGGTCGTTAACTTCTAGAATATTGTTTGCGTAGTAAAATAATGGTAAGATTTTGCCTGGGATGTTCCGAAGTTTTGAGGTGAGAATGTTTTGCTTGAGGGGTTGACAGCGTTCAATCTATCATGATGGGAGAGCGCAATGACTGCTTATATACTTCAGATACGATAGGTAGGGGCATACAGCATGTGTGTGAGCTTCACACTGAGAATGGAAATTCGTATTGTACTCTTAAGCCACTTAACGTCATACTCGTAGCGCTTGAAGGGGCTTAGCATTTGACCTGAAGGGTAATCTCGTATTCGCTAGGATAAGAGTTCGTCCCACCCATTCGCATGTTGAGGTATGTAGAGATGCAAGCCTGTCCCGTACCACAAAACTCCCCCAAACTAACAGTTAAATGCTAAAGACTAACTGGGACCAATCTACCTAGAAGGGCAGCTCGTGCGGTAGATCATGATTAAAAATCAGAACCTGCAAGGAAAGTATCTCTTACTGGCAGTAGCAACATCACCTTCCTATTGGTGAACCTACACTTTGCGTGTAATAGGCTTAGCGTTGGTTTGTTTCTTACAAGCTGAACACGCTAAGTAGATAAGCCACAAAGTTGAGGCATGTAGCCTTTAAGTTTTCTGTTTTTGCCCGTACTCGTTTAAAGCCGGGATGGCATTGGTTAGTCAACTAACTATTCCATAATTCTCGCTTTGGGTCTTCTTGGCTTTCATGAGCTGCGCCACAGAGTGGCCTTGCGACCGGATCTACTGTGTCTATGTCCAGAAGTTCGCGGCTTATCTAGTCTGAAGGGGAGCGCAGAGGACCACCTACCTGGAGTGGTGGCAGTGCTGGGCATGGGACAGCATATGTCTCACCCAATTAAAAGCGTCTTATTGGCCGTCTGTTTATCGTCATCGTCTATCAAAGCCCGTTAAAACGTTAACTATATCAAGGACGATCTGACGGTAACACAAGAAGAATAACTTAACTAGGGGGATGACGCCTAAAATCAACAACTCGGAACACTCACGCCCGGATCGTTTGCATACTGACAGCGTTTCCGACTCATGGATAATGGTGGTCTACGGATCCCCTTGATCTTGTGCTACTCATCAACAGTACGATCCGCGTAAGAAGCTGCAGTCAAAGTCCTGATTCAAAGGCAGTTGGTGGTGGCTCTGCAAGAAATGAGGGACAATTATAGGGAATCTCGTCTCCCGTCCCGCCTATTCTCCCTCCCCGTTCCCCCGACCACCCACCATGCTGCAGCAGTAGGGGGCCAGGAAGGAAAGGAAAGAAATGAAACGAAAAGTACCAAGGCCTTATTATAACTGGAAATCAGAAACTCATTCCACGCATCCGGAGTTCTTTCACGAGAGAAGGGAACTGCGATATCCGTTGCCCGTTTCTAGCACCGAAATGAGGTAAGGTCAGTGCAGACTCAGCAGGGAGAAGCAAACAATGACTCCACAGTCGAGTCTGTAAAGGCTGATTCAACTGAGAAATCGTGGACTCTAATGGCCGGAGACGATCATTTTGGGACGAAAAATCTATGAAAGAATCGAGGCTAAATGGGAAGGGAGCCGTCTGATTCGGCACATATTCTAGGGTCGCCAGAGACCCCGAGGAAGATTGCGAAGGGATAGGGACCGTTTAATCATTGCCCATCGTAAAATCTGTCCCCTGTTTTCTTTTCTAGGAAAGCACAGTGCAGGCACAACTAGAGAATCGGCAACTGATACATGCGTCAGTATGCCTTGGGAAAAAAAGATAAAAATAAAGTACACTGGGATTATGGAGACTGGCTTGTGCGAATTTTCCATGGTCTCTTGGAACGTAAAGCTTGGAGATGCCTTTTCCCTCCGTCGTCTGCATTCAACCGTTCAAAGAAAGATACGCTGCCGCTGCATTTGCCCTGCAGCCTTTCACGCGATTAAACATGGGGTGGCTGAAGCTGGAGTTCAGAATAACGTCGTGTGACTTCCTAATAGACACTCGGATCGAGAGGAGTAAAGCTACATTTTGAAGCCTTGTAATCTCCACTCGCCAAAGCTAAGTCGCCTTTCGCAGCATCACCTTTGTATGTGGAGCTCACCGAAGAGAAGCTGGAGGAAGTGATAGTGAATACGAGTATTTATTGTCTTGAAACGTGATGTGACCAACTCCTGGGTCCTATCTGAAGATGGTCCCCGAACCATTTCATGACTTGACGGAACAGCGCTTGACTAGTAATATCCTTAAAATGGCGTATGAAATCCTGCTAGTAACCAGCAGTCATGTGGCTAAGCTCAGTCGATAGGTGCTCTGGATTGGTGACGATGACCATGTAGCCAAGGCCATCTGAGGCGAGAACTCCTAGGCTAGATCGCCATTAGGATCTTCAAAGCTTCTCTTTGCCCAAGGCAACAGTCCCAAGCTTGAGCACCCTGGCAGCATTTCCGCATAAAAGATGTGCCTTGACATCGTCCCGAAGTCTGATATCCCGGTTCGCTGACTGAGCACACTTGCTCCAGCTTAATTGGGCGAAGTTTGTTCCAAACATGACCTTTTTTCTTCCGGTGGTGTTTGCAAACTGTATTAGTTCCTGTGCCGACGTTAATGTGAGTGAATTTCCCACGGACATCACTGCATAGGTATGTTACCTTTGGATAAAATTTCGGTAGATATGCTGAAGTGTCGATGTAGACATTCGGGTGCTTGCACGCCAGACCGATCATCTCTTGTGTCCAAGGAAAACCAATATGCCCACAGATAATTGACAGCGAGGGGAATGCCAGAGCCACCTTGTTAATATACTAAAATTTATTAGCGAGCTGAACTGCCTTCATAGGATGGAATCCTTGAGGGACTTTACAGGCACTGGTCGGCCAACTTTGCTTGGGCAGAGGGGCCCAGTATGTCCGACCTGGGTGAACTGAAATGAAATAATACTGGTTAACTATCCATCAGAATCATGAAGTTGATAGTGAAGGTGCTTAGGAAGGGAATATTGAGCTTGATACACTTGACATAGAGCGGCCAGCTACCTGCAGACTATATCAGCCCACTATTGAGCATTTCCTACTTTATGTGATAATTAACTCAGTAGTTCTTGTCCGTTGGTGGTAGATTCTAAAGCCATGGTACCACACGAACACCTTTAAACCCTTCGACCTTGACGTACTTTTCCACCTCTTGCACGTAGTTGACCGGATCATGCAGGTCGACACCGGTAATCCCGATGAAACGGTCAGGATAGGCGCGAGTGAACTGCGCCATGTCTTCGTTGGAGAAAACTACTTCCCCTGGTCGGTACCATGCGCAGAGGCATATTTTTGAAACACCCGCGACATCCATGAGAGCGACAAGCTCATCAGGTGTCCGTCTGCGGGATAGCAAGCTGCTGTCGGCATGAGATTGTTCGAATAGATGACGGACCTCAGGCACGCCTTCCTATTATCATGAGATCATGATAAGCTATGGAGAATTCTTATTAGGGCTGAATTTTACTGTTAGCATAGTTGAAGTGTAACTTGATTTACTTATATCGAAAGGGAGGACAGGATTCGCCCAAACATCAACAATGGGGAAGGACATTGTCTGCTCCGTATGGCAATATTTCTGGTAAATGGCTAACGTTCTCTGAAGTGATAGCTAGATTAAAACAGGTACTCTTCTGTTTTAATTATGTGTGGATATAAAAGAAGGGAGAGACCTGGTGACTCCATAATGTTAATGACCCCCCCATTCTTGGCCGCAGTAACAGAGGACTACAGTACCTTGGCTCATCAATTGTAGCTGACTCCTGAGCTACAGAAACGAATGGTGGTGATTGACTTGACTCTCTGGATTGATTTAGGTTTGTTTGCAAGTGTGTATTATTCCCTATATCTACTTTCTCAGAATCTAGTGCAAGCCACGCATGGCCACTTTTTAATAACTTTAGTCTAAAATGATACTTCTGCATTCCTTTTGGCTGTTATATCCCAGGGCCTAGATGGCGCTGAAAAGTAAAGGTGTTAGATGTGACTGATAATGGAATCAACCGATAGCTATTCATTCAGGGTTTCACTGACAAATTTCTGCGGTGTCAAGTACAGCACCCTGCACTGCTCATTTCAGTGTGATACTAGACGGAGATCTGAATATCAACACGGCAACCTACAAGAACCATCCATGAGTTATAATACCTCAACAAAATCTAAACCCCCCTACTCCACAACCCGAGGTCATGTCTATAATGCCATTTAGCCAGTCATCTGCTCCTTGCATTTCTAGTCCTTCAGTGTTGTCTGTCGGGTGAGAGGGAGGTTGCAGACTGTTTACCAGGCCAGACTGCCAGACCGGGTCCTGCAGCACTGTGGGCGTCACCCACTCCTCTCCTACAGACAGGGCAACAGGCGTTGATATTGCGCTTGGTTTCTTTGATTCCCTAGTTTCAGTATGCTCCTGTGCCTGCTGGGGTGTCCAGTACAATCATGTGGTTTACCGGACTGTCGGTCATGGGCCACATTGCCATAATACTATTGGGCCTTCCTCTGGCATTTACCTCTGGCGCTTTTCGGGGTTAATGAGAAGGCGGCGGTGAAAATGTGCCAACAGCAGTACGTTTACAACCTGGCCTCCTGCTCAGGTGGTCATGAACAAACAATTGATCGATGTAGGGCTTTTTCCTTTCCTTCTATTCCGACTTCTACTACTCATACATATGCGAGCAGGAGGCATGAAGTGCGGATTCAAGTGACTCTGTATGGGCAGTACCGCCACGGAATTAACTTACTCAGCTTACAGTGCTCTAAAACCCCCTTTTTTTGCAAGACCTAACTCTTAGAGGTCCTGCCTCAAGTCAGACGGCCCTACATTCTTCTATAGGGCTATCTGCTAGGGCAGATAGCCTCGTGACCCTCGTCACCTCTATATCTCGAAGTCTACACACAGACAGCCATGATTCCATAAGCTTCATATTCGATTTCGTTCATGAATAACAGTCATGCGCATTTCGGACAGGTACCCCTTGTTGATCACGAGATATAACATTGTCCGTCACTTTAACTTGAATAAGTACAGGCTAATCGGATGGAAATGTGATCAGAGCAGATTCTCCTAAGAGGTTTCTCCCCGGGCAAAAGTGATTCATATATGTAGTAGCCTCCTGCCCATATCTAATCCAGAAGGGTGCTTATGATCGCATAGGCTTTACAGCGTAACGTGTGATCGGCGTCTCATCGAACTAGCACGCCACATCAGCGCAAACGCCCACAGTTATCAACGAAGACGAGCACTCATTGATTTTCAATTCTCGCCTTATCTCCGTTAAAACCGAGCAGCCTGGATTTTCCCAGACAAGTAATATTACGAGCGTAGGAATATCAAAGTCCTCCTATTGAAATTAGCTATCACTCGGAACCCGCAGCGGAAAAGCAACAGAAAATCCTTCCTCCTACGAACATTGCCCGGTATCTGAAATGGTCAGACTACTCTACAATAGAATGCAAAACAGATTACCCCTTGGACACTTGGGCTTTCTTTCCTAACGGCCCACTCACCAAAACCACAGTAATTAGAGGTTCCGGCATCAGCGAACTTATTTGCCAAACCCCAACCCCAATATCCGAGTTCGTATCGAGGGCAAGCACTGTAGCACAGCAAAAATCTGAATTTGGGGCGGGATTTGCGAGATTCTAACATATTTAGACCTAACAAGAGGATGCAGCAGCAATAATTGCGGCCTCTGCTTCCACACTCCAATTCCATAGCATCTCTCCAAGATGCTCATCCTTTGCTAGGTCGGACAATTTTGAGTCTGTGGCATCCCAAGTGTAGCCATAGTAGAACTTTCCAGCAAGCGGTCCAACGTCAAAATACCGCCCACTCAGTGACTTTGACTTAATGTCTGGGTCTGTAGCGACCAGCAGCGTCGTCAGAGCCCCGTCTTCCGGCGTTATGCTCATCAATCGGACAACTGAAAGGTTGACCAACCTGAACACTGGCGGCAATGCAGCTGAGTCGGTCCCCGGAGCAGCGCCGACCGTGCCTGCAAGAGCCTTATTAGGACGCAATTGATATTAGGTTTTAGAATCCTACCTGGGTTGAGGCAATTGACAAGAATGTTGGAGTAGCCTGCTGCCTGAAAGTGCGCGTGGAGACGCCGGGCAAATAATATATTAGCTAGCTTTGAACGTGCATATCTACCAGGATTTCAGCTGGGTTAGCCCTTGCCTCTAGCTCTTTAGTTGCCGAAATTTGTGTACTCCCAAGGGAATAGCAGCCGAAACCGTCAAACTTCGGAAGGTTAAACTGACCTCTGCAAGCTAGCTTGTACGTCGGCAAGGCTCCTTATTGTCTTTGGACCCTCCGTCCTTAGGCCTTCAAAGTCGATTTTGGCCGGTAGAACCGGCTTATACATGGCATGAGCATGCGATGCGACAATGACAATCCTCGCCTCACCAAATGCTTCGGAAGTGTGTTGGATCAGCTTCTAACAATCGATTAGTATAGATGTGAGATAAAGGATGAGAAATTAGAACAAATTTATACCAGGAGGTTGCGAATGAACACAAAATGACCGAAGTACTACCAAGACGAAAACACGTTAAGCTTTTTCACAGCAGCATACATATATTCCCTTACATTTGTCTGCATGAGGGTCAGAAAATATAAACCACGCTAAGGGAATATAAAGAACCTACAGCGAACTGTACCTCAATACCATCACTTGACAATGTCTCTGGCTATGCCTGATTAGCATCTGCCCAGCCCTTCTCAGTGCTCGATCTAATGCCCACGAGAGGTAACTCACTACAACAGCCAGTGCAGCGTTCGCAATAAGGACATCAAGTCTTCCTTCAAGTTCAGTGAAGCGCTTTGCCGCAGAGATGCAACTAGTTGCGTCTGACAAGTCAAGCTCCAGAAAGCTCAAGCCTGCAACCATGAGTGGGTCCTTTAATTTAAGGTGGTTAAGAAGTTGCTCAAATTTCCCCTTTGATCGAGAGGCAACATATACTTTGGCATTGTGCCTTAATAGCTGTTCCACAACTTCTTTCCCGATCCCAGTGGCACCACTAGAGAAGGAACCTTGTGTTAGTCTGATCATTATAGCATAATGTCGATGTTCTCACCCAGTGACTATGATGACCTTGCCCGATAGTTCAGGGATATCTTCAACAGAGAATTTCTTTCGAAACGGATCCATAAACATCATTTCCTAAAGAGATGACTGTTGGATGTAGATTAATGAATTTGAATGCAAGTTAGTTCATTGGGAAATCTTTGTCATTATAAAGTTGATTCTAAGCGGACTTAGGATTCGTCACCCCTATCTCCGCGCTTCGCATACATCGGACGACACTAATGCTGTACAAGATGCACATCTTTCGATGAGTCCCCGAAAGCCCAGCCCGGCCCGCCAGAAAAGCTGGTAGTTAATGTAATCGGTAAGCGAGCCGCCATACGAGATTGCCCGGAGTCGAAATTGAAGCTATTTTCCACCCTTAATACATGATTATATTACTGAAGCCAGTTATTCTTACGCTGCGGACATTGAAGTGCCTATGCCTGGACCCCCCCTTGTGAAATAACACCGAATAGCCATCACTGCCAGGAGCAGTAGGGAATGAACGTTCGGTACTTGAAAGGAAAAAGTTACAGGAGAAACGTATCAGCAATAGTGAATACAGCCAAGACGCTGTGTGCCCAGACTGTTAGAAAGCGGCAAGAGATATAGTCACGGGTATGATAGACGTCGCGCAATCGCAATGGTGCTAGGACGGACACTAAGGCATGACGGCCATTAGTCCCGCTGGTTTGGTAAACCCCCGTTTCTTCCGTCCCCTCGGAATGAAGCATAGCAAATCAAACACACTCACCGATTGTCTGAGTATGTTGCTCTTAGCTGGGGGATTGCACACTGCGACGGTTTGCTATACTCTCCGCAGAGGCAACCTGAGCAAGTTGCCGCGCCCGCTAAAGAGGCCTTTGGAAAGGCCAAGGCAGGGTTGTTATCGCCGGGGTTGATTCCAGAACCCAGAAGATTGCTCAGGAGGTCGCAATCCTCACCGGCCATATCAGAAGCCGGTCCAACCCAGCGTCGTGCAAACTAGAGATGGATTTTTGAATCCTAAGGATCTCCTCCTTGAAAGCGCCCAAGAACCAGCGGTCTACCAGTGAGTTGATGACATAAAAATGAGCCAAGATGGCCAAAGAAAGCCCCCTGGTCAGACCCATTAGTTCGTCGCTCCCCAGTAAGCCGAGAAAGACATCGGGAACCAAGCTTGGCCAAC